GGGCGAGACAGCTGCATAACTTCAGTGGTACGGTTTTTTTGTTTAGGTGTCAGGGGGGGGGGGGTACCAGCGTACCCAAAGGAAACCCCACAACAAGATGCATGCTCCACACACATGGAGTCATAGCGTAGACTCAAACCCAGGTCCCAGAGGTGTGAGGGAACAGTACTAACCATAGAATCATTGTATCTCCACATGCGCAGTACAATATTTAGCGAATTATCTAATATGTACATATCAATATTATTGAAACCATTTAGCTTTCGTGAAAATGGTAAGTGATGGGTTATCCCCGTTTTACCTCAGCACAGTTCTGCAGTTTATATGTTTCCCCCAATAATTATGGTCATTAGAGGAACTGAAAGCTTCCAAAGAACAGCTGTTTATTACCACTTTTGTGCTGAGACCTCCAGCCAGGCCGGGTAACAGACCCTGGTACTTTTAAGCCATGGAGTTGTAGATAAGCAGGCTTGAAAACCAAAACAGCTGAAAATAGTTTCGTGTTAGATGCACGGGCTTATATCTATTTGATGATGTTCCTGCTGCAGTTTTAATGAGTACCTCAGCAAGCCAGTATAGTATTCCTCTTTGACATAATCCGAGCTCATAGTGATCATAAAATATACATCAAGCAGACAATGACTATGCAAAATCAGATTTCAACACTCATTGTCCACAAGAAGACAAATGGGGATATTCTTTAGAGTGACATTAATAAACAATAGCTGATCAGGTCAAACTGTTCTGACTTCTTTGCCAATACTGCTATGAATAATTACTATGTGCTTACAGGACAATTCACAACAGATTTTACACATCATTACCTCGGGATTCAGTACTAATAAAACTATTTCAGTTCAGCCTATCAGGATAAAGGCAAATTTAAAAAGATCTCTTTTTTATACTGAAATGATTATGCTGTTATTATGTTATAACAGAACATATACACTTTGAGATATTTAAAACTGTAACACATTATAGAGCTCAAGATCATTTTAATGTATGTTCTCTGAAGGCCCCAAAATGGTCATCTGTAAAATATAGCAGAGAATGCTATGTTTCTTTGTTACAAATGAATATTACATGTAATCTCATGTTGATTTCCATTTTGGTACTGATGACATTCTTCTATACATGTTAGTGAATGAAACTGCAGGAATGCTGTTCTGAGGAACTGTATAAATCTTACTAAATACTGGATGGCAAAACAATATTCTTCAGCTAAATTTCAGATTCAGTTTGCAATCTTGATGCATGGATTTATGCATCGCTCTGCACTGCGAAAATAAAGTCCAGGATCTGTTCATGCAAATCAGATTTGTGATCCAGTCTTAAACTTTGAGCTACATATATTTCAAAAAGTATGTAGTGTATATATAATTGCTTTTGTCCTTTAGACATATCAACAAGTGGATTCATGCCGTATTAGCTCTGAGCAGCATTACTGTAATTCTTTACATACAGAATCCAGCCACTAGACCTGGAAGCAGAAATATGGATCATATTACCCCAGTCCTGGCCTCTTAATATTGGCTTACAGTATCTCTTCTTTTATAATCAGTTTAAAATGTTTCAAATTACTTTTATGGTCAGGCATGTATTGGATTCAGAATACACTGTTAGAGGTATTGCTTCTATGTATCAATGAATGTTACCCCTGATTTATCAACAAGCCACTCCCAGTGTCCCAAGTGCCACATCTGCTTTTAGGCTCAGTGAGAGTTTCCCTCTAAAAAGGATCAATTCCCTCCTAGGATATTTAAAAACCTATAACCCTTAAAATCGGCCGTCACAGTCTTTCGCATTTAGTATCTCTGTACAGTTTCTTCTTTTTTAGTACTACCTTATTTCAGTTACATTTTCTTTATTTTGTATTTTATTTTATGATGTCTTATTATTTTTATTGGTTTAATTCATTATTTTGATAACTATTTTTTTAAACTGTTATATAGTTTCATTTAGATTTTCATTGTTTATTCCATTTTGTTTTTGTTCACATTGTTTAAATATTCAATACAAAACTGGTTTACAATTTGTATTATATGGCATCTATTAGCAGGAGTGTCACTCACATCTGTGGTGGTAGGTGCTGCCCTCTGGTGGACTGGAGACTTGTGGGATGTCAGTATGGCACTTCTAGTGCTGGCTGATACAGGGGATCTGTCAACAGTACCCTGGGGAGCTTCCTTCATGGGCTCCTTATGGCCTCTTTCCTGCGCAACAGCAAAAGTTACCCTAACTAACACGTAGAGTGACTACACAATACAAGCAGGCCTATGCATTTAATACCTGGTGCCTTTGGTGATATCAGGGTATTCAGAGTAATCAGTACAGAGAATACGCTACACCTATTCACCTCTACTGGACCTTCATTCATTTTCTGAAATATGTATGTATTTGAACATACAAGAAAGTATTAGAAAGCTTTTAAGAAGCCTTAAACAAAATCAGTATCTCACCTAACTAGCTAATGCGATAAAATCTCAACACAGCTTTGACCTAGTCAATCTAATATTTGCACACAGAACATTTAGCAAAAAACAGAAAACATCTTATACAAGTATCAGCATATTTTCTCGAACAGTTAAGCCGATACAGCTAGACGTCATTAGTAACAATCTGTTAAATACAATAGTTATCTTAAAAGTGGTCCTGTTATTCCTGTTATTCTGAAACAGTTCAGACTTGTTTGAATATTCATATTTTTTTGTGGCAAAAGATATTACTGACAATACACTGACATTTAAACTGAAAAGAGTGCCAAATTGTATCATTCTCACCACAGTCTCTGCATTTAGCTCATGAGAACCGTCATGAGGCCTCCGAGTCTGAAGGTGGCGATGTTCCAGAATTCCGTGCTTGCCCTTGAGTTTTGTGTTCTCCCTGAGGAGGGACTCCACTTGTTTCAGCAGGTGCCCATGAGCTAAGGACCAGTGGCTCTCCCTCTGCTCCAGTTGCTCCTTTAGGGCCCGCATTTCATGTTTTAGCTCCTGGAAACACAGTTCAGTAGCCTGACATAATGTACACCATGCAAACTGTGTGAATGGAAGTGTTTAGTTGGGACATTAGCCTCTAACAAGGGTGTAGATTAGGGATGGATGGTAGGGACATGTCCCTACCAATACTGTGGGTGTACTGTGTGTGTAGGGGGCGGGTAGCTTGGGGCTGTTTTGGGTCCTACTAATATTGAAACCAGATCTACGGTTTGGCCTCCAAAGTTGTGTCTGATTCCTTTTAAAATTACAATGTAAATAAAGCAGTTCATGAACAGCGAAAAAAAACCGGATATATTATCATAGGTGACATGGTGGTTCAGCCCCCCCCCCCCATATGAAAATCAATTCAATCATAAAATCTGTACCTGCAGTTCATTGTCTAAGGAGGAAGCTGGTATTTGATTATGCAAACCATCTTCAGAAGAAGTTCTATGCTGTTCACAGTGGAGGTCCTCTTTTCTTTCACACTCAAGTCTGGACATTTTTTCTCTGAGAAAAATCAGGATTGCCTTTAATCAGTACTGAATTATTTTCAGATGCCTGACAATAATTCCGCTAGTTTCTTTGTTGTCACAGACTATACAATAAATGTTTAAATCCAGTTTAAGAAGCAAAACCTACTGTTCGACTGGTAGATGTTTTGGCTAATAAAATCATCCGATAATAATCTCGTTAAATATTTATGACAAGAAAAATGTCTCTCTGACTGGGGAGAATGTTGAGCATTGTTTAGGTGTTACAACTCATAGCCTTTGATTGTTAAGTGCTTTTAAGCAGAAAGTGTGGGTTTCATTTATGACGGGTAGATCATCATAATAATCTTAGCATCACTAAAGAACAGTTAAACTACTGGTGTCTGTTAAATATTTACCACATAAAATTATCTCATGTTATATTACCAGATATTGAAATGTTTAGCTCAATATTACTATATCTGTTGGGCCCTAGTGACAGCGCTGTGAATCAAATAAGCGATTTAGCAAAATCACATGCTGTATGATTTTAGAAATGGTGGAGTTGGTTGATAATTAATATAAATAGCATCACCACCATTTTGTCCACAGTTTACCTGAAGAGAGGATGAGCTTCCTCTTCTTCTGCTTTCACCTTGTCCAGCTTTAATGCATGACCTTTACCACTGTGCACTGACACTGCATACAGAGTCCCTGCCACGGACTCAGGCCACTGGATGCTGAGCTGCACTGCATCACTGCTGTCACTGAGGACACTGGTTGCAGGGCTGGGGATCTCAGCCCTGGAGGTGCCCCCCTCATCTTGCTCACTCAGAGCGTCACTGGCATAGTCATCATCATCGCTGTCACTACCCCAGCGGTTCTCGTATCCCTGCCTGGAAGGAGCGTGGAGATGCTCATTCTCATTACTGCTGGCCCCATTTGAGGCACCTGTGGACACAGAGTTTTGGGCCCCCACTGTGGTCCAGTTTAACCCTTTTCTAAAACTTCTCTTACAGCTGTTTTTGTAACCATTGCCTGTAGAAAGGGGCATTCCATTCACGACTCTAACCATGTGGCCATTCATGTTTTTAAACATGCATTCAGCTCCTGCTGAGGTGCTCTGAGGAATTTCCCGATAAGATTCCTTGTCTCGGACAAAAGGATATCTTCGGCCTGTTTGTAGTGTAGTGCATTTAAAACACTGCGGCTCTGGTGATACAGACACTTGCTTTTGATCTTCTTGTATCTGGTGCCTTTCACTAGGGCATCTCTGCTTCCAGAAGTTCCCATCTCTAAAAGTTCTGGTGGATGTCCGGCCTCTCGGTCTTGTATAGGCTGAAGCTGAGCCCCTAGCACTGTCTATTACTGGCTTTTCTCTTTTCCAGACCTGAAGGGAGGTGGGAGTAGTGAAGCAGCTCTGGTGATCGGTGAAGCACCTCTGGTGATCGGTGAAGCAGCTCTGGTGATCGGTGAAGCACCTATGGTGATCGGTGAAGCAGCTCTGGTGATCGGTGAAGCAGCTCTGGTAATCAGTGCAGCACCTATGGTGATCATTGAAGCAGCTCTGGTGATCAGTGAAGCAGCTCTGGTAATCAGTGCAGCACCTATGGTGATCATTGAAGCAGCTCTGGTGATCGGTGAAGCACCTCTGGTGATCAGTGAAGCAGCTCCGATGATCGGTGAGGCTCCCTTTGCGGGAATGCAGGCTAATGGAGGCTCTCCTCTGGGTCTTCAGTGAACAGCTCTTACCCTTATTTAAGTGTAATCTCCCCTCTCCTTTTTTTAGGAAGGATTGCTTCTCCATTATGGTGTCCTTAATGTCCTTCAGAAATGACACAAACCACACTAGTTTTACTAGTAATCATAATTTCTATAGAAGATGTCATCATTCATACCAGGTTTTAGACAGAAAATCAGCCTTCATCAGTAAAAACCACCCTTCCTTCCTCAGTAGGCTTTGTTTTTATTATTATTATTATTATTATTCATAATAATAATAATGTCAGACAAAAGCCAAGACATCAGGACAGGTTAATAAATGTGAAAGGAATTTCCTGACGATGTGGAATATTGTCACTTTTTGTAGTGTATTGTATGAGTTTGAGTGTAAATGTAAATTTTGTAGGCTTTCGCTTAGGGCATGTGGGATGACATCTGTGCAGGAAAGAACAATGGGGACAATGAGCACTGTATCCATGTTCCAGAGGTGATGGATGTCTTGTGCCAGATCTGTATATTTGCATATCTTATCTGTTTGTGTCTTTTGTAGGTTGCTTGTGTCTGGTAAGGCGATGTCTATAATATATGTGGTTTTGTTATGTTTGTCGATCAGTGTGATGTCAGGTCTGTTAAAAGTTGACGGTTCTATCTCTTATGGTTCTGTTATAGTACACTTTATGTGATGTGTTCTCCAGCATTGTATTAGGTGTGTATTTGTAATATGGCGTGCTTGTGTTTGTCAGTTTATGCTGTAGTACTAGTTCTTGGTGCATGATGTTGGTATCTTGATTGTGTCTGTGTGTATAATCTGTCTGTGTCAGTAGTTTGCATCCAGAGGTGATGTGCTGTGTCGTCTCTTGTGAATTGTGACAATATCTACAGGTGCTGTCTGTAATGCGTGTGTCCTTCAGTATGTATTTTCTGTAGATTCTGGTGTTAATGACTTGGCCTTGAATAGCTAACATGAATCCTTCAGTCTCATTGAACAGATCCCCGTGAGTAAGCCAGCAGTTTGACGCAAGATTATCAATACGAGGCTCGCTGCGTACATAGGGGTGTCTGTCATGGAGTCCATTCCAGCTTTTTGAGGTGTGGGGTTGTAATATATTCTGTGTAAGTTATGTGGTGTGCAGTTGCTGTCTGCCAGGACTATAGCATCGTGCAGTGCTGATGTGATCTGTTTGGTGTGGAAGAAGCTTCTCAGAGTGTTTATCTGTGTATTGTGGAGGTTTGGTATGTCTGTGAGGCTCCTCCCACCTTCCGCCCGTGGGAGGCTGAGCCTCTCAGCGGCTGATATTGGGTGATGATGTTTGTGTTGTTTGTTGTGCACGTGTTTTCCTTTGGAGCTGTTCTTACTGTGTGGATGTCCCATGTATTACTCCAAAGGAGTATGTATGTATTGGTATTGCACATGTGTTGAAGGCTTTGACTGTATGACGTGCGTGGAGATGTGTTTTTAGTATTTCTGTATATTTTGTTTTAGTTTGCGTTTAATGTGTTTATGCTCAGTAAGTCTGGCCTCTTGGAATCCCAGGTACTTGTAGAGCTAATTCTCTGTCACTGCATCAATTTGTTCACCAGTTTGCAGTGAAGACTCCTTCTCTCAGGGTTTCTTCTTCTACACGGAGTGTTTTACATCTGTCCAGTCCAAACTTCACGGTTATATTTTGTGAGAATTGTTCTGTTATATGGAGCAGATGCTGTAAGTGTGTGTCGGTTCGGTCATATATTTTCAGGTCATCCATGTAGAATAAATGTGGGAGGGTGTACTGTTGATGTTGGCTGATGATTTTATATCCATAGAGTGTGCTGCTGAGTCTGATAGTGAATTAAGAGCCAGACAGAACCAGAGAGGGCTAAGCACATCTGTCTGAAAGATGCCTCTTCTGATGTAGACTGTATTTCTTTGCAGTGTTGTGTTGTTTATGTGAAGGTGCAATGTTGTTCTCCAGTGTCCCATCAGTGTCTGCAGAATTGTATGAGTGTGGAATGTATCCTGTATGTGTAATATCTGTATTAGCCATGTGTGTGGGACACTGTGAAAATCTTTTCTGTAGTCAATGTATGCAGCATGTAGATGTCTGTGCTTTTTGTGTGCCTGCCCGACTGAGCGCCACAGAATTAATCGGGAGTTTTATTAAATGGTAAATGGATTGCATTTATATAGCGCATTTTCTACTCCTACGAGCACTCAAAGGGCTTTACAATTTTGCCTCACATTCACATTCACCAATTCACACTCATTCACACATAATAATATTATCATTATTATGATTATTATTGTTGTGATTATCATTCATTTTACCTGTGTCTGCTTTTCTGGGAGGTCTCCATCTACCTTGAGATGTTTTTCTAAGCTCTCTTCAAAGGATTTCTGTGCCACTCGAATTCCAGGTCCAGTGGATCTAACATACAGATGCACATCAGCCTTCAGATATTTAATGTTTCTGTTTCGCAAGAAGCTTTACTGAGTATTAAATGTAATACAAATGTTACTATATCCTCAATTGCCTTTATTCAATGCAGGTATGAAACATTCAACCTGAAGAATTTAGTTTACTTTGAGCTTACTTGTGTACGAACAGTATGTCAATAGGATCACACCTGCTTCGGCACTATATTGGTTAATTTTAAGTCCAATAATCTACTGTATCTATGGTATCAAGTGTATATTTGTACCTCTCCTCAGGATTAGTGGGATACTTTCTCTGTACCCCAAAGGACTGAACAGAAAAGCGACTCTCCTTTTGAGTCACATCCTCTTCGACATGGTTCAGGTTTCTGGGTTGCATATTCTCTGCAAAATTTACACCTACAAAACTGTGGAAGACATTGGTAATTTTACTGGGTTTGCATGCTTTTCAAACTGCAATAGATAATTTGCTAACATTTTATTTAAAGCTGTCACCTATAATAAAATATAAATATAGATACGTTCATAATGCAGTATAAGAATTCATAAATCATTTCAGCATCCTCTATTGACAGTCACAAGGCATTGTAGTGTTGTTATGATACTTCATAAGCTCCAGTACAACTAATCGATAATGCACTATAAATACCTTCTAATGCATTATGATGGTTGGTATAAGAATTAATAAAACATTACAGCATCTTCTATTGACAGGCATTGTAGTGTTGTTATAATACTTCATAAGCTCCAATAAAGCTCTTATCTATAATGCACTATAGATACCTTCATTATATGCATTATAATGGCCAGTATAAGAATTAAGGATGCTTTGTACTACATTATGAAGGCATCTATAATGCATTATAGATGAGAACTTCATAAAGCATTCATAATGCTTAGAATGTTTATAATGTTTTATGAATGCATTATAATGTGACATGAATGTGTTCTTAGATTCTTATAGACATTGCATTCATAGAAATTTTATTCACCATGTATAAAAATTCAAGGATTTTGTTATGGTGCAGGTTGTTGCCTAAAGAATACAATTAAAGACACAATCAAAAGCAAAAAAATACAAGACATAGAATAGAAAATGAAAAATCGATAGAAATAGAAATTAAAACATATTTTTAAAAAATGAAGATGTAGACAGATAAATAAAGGTGAAACAGCTAGATGTGTGTGCTAATAGACGTATAAGTTCAATGAAAGTTCATACAGTGTATGAGGAAACATCGAGAGATGCTGTAAGTGCGAGAGTGTATCTCATAGGTTCTTGTTTAGGAGGAAAATGGCCTGGGGCAAGAAGCTGTTCAGCTGATGAGTCATCCTTGTGTTCAGGGGTCACACTCTCAGGTTTCACAAGGAGGAAGATGGTGGAGGAGGAGGTGATGTGGAAGCGAGGAGTGCAGGGCTTCAAGCAGGGAGAGCTGACAGCTGGTGATCTTCTCCGCACGTCGCACAACTCGCTGTAATCTCCGCTTAGCGTGCGACGGTGCAGAGCCAGATCAGATGTAATAGTTGATTATTATTCACTTGAAATGCCACTGCACCAAAATGCATTCTGAGCACGGGGAATGTGAATTACCAAAAAAAAGTTAAACTGCTGGATGCAACTCAATTTTTTTAACCTGCCACAGCACAAATGGAGGGTGGGATACTCCGAGAGAAGAAAACGTCCTAGCGAGTTACTTCTTGTTTGAGGCGGTCTGGCTGCAATTAAAGGATCTGACTTATTGTGATTATGCACAATTTAATCAGATATGTGAACTACGGTCACATGCTCATACAAGTCTGATGTGCATCATCAAAGAAGAAACATTTTGACATATGGAGAGGCTATAAATTTTATAGTACTTTTCACTTGATGTTTTTAAATGCTTATAATCTAAGTTCTAAGCTGTCTAAGCATCTTTCTAAAATGATTTTTTATCAACTGAAAAAAGATTTATTTTGTGCATGTAGCAATGAATGATGGCTTCACCAAATTCAGGTTGTTGATTTTTTTTTTTTTTGATATACTGTATATTGCATATAACTGTACAGAAATGAAGAGGAACAAACCTCTCGCCAAACTTTTCACTTCAGTAAGCAGATTAAGATCTTTTTAAAACTAGTCTGGCACATCTGGAAATTGCCACGTGCCGGTCTCTGTGTTTAGTAAACTTGTCCTTGTCATTACATATTCAGGGGGTGTGTCACCATTGCCCAATGACTAAAACCACTCACTTCATCTCGGAATTTCCGTAATACTGACCGTGACAGGGGGTAACCAGAATAGGTCTGTTTTCCCAGAAGATAAGGAAAGAGACGCTGGGGTGATGCGTGAGGTGAGGCGAAGCACGTCTTTCCACTTGTCAAAGTCACGGAGTCAGGTGCTCATCGCCAGCTTGTTCTGACATGCCTCGACATCGCAGACATGGGAGGTGCCCTGGAAACAGGTCCTGACAGCTTTGCAAGAGTGAAGCGGGGAGCCATTTATTCCTGGCGGACAGAACCTGAGCGGCACTAGGGGTGAGTGAGCGATCGCCTCTTCACAGCTACACAGGAGAATTCCATCACCGACCATTTTTAAAAGACGCCTTTATACTGCAATTTTTGAGTTTTGTCCTTTACGTCCTGCTTTCCTCTGCGCTTTTTTTTTTCCAAGGAATTTTGCCCTTCAGCTAGAGGATGGAGGAGACTTATAACTTCACTGAATACAACTGCATCACTAATAACAAACCGCTCTACGTTGGATATTCTGTTGTGCTGATTGTGGAACTAATACTGGCTCTGCCACTGAACATCAGCGTGCTCTACATGTTCATCTTCAAGCTCAGGTTCTGGAAAGCCAAAAGCAACATGGTCTTCCTCTTCAACCTCATGCTGGCGGATTTTGTGCTTCTTATATGCTTGCCTGTGAAGATCTACCACTTTCAGCAAGGGGAACGCTGCAGTAAAAATGATACAGAGTGCAAAGTGATGCTTTTCATGCTCTTCCTGAACCGAGCGGCCAGCATCGCCTTCCTGACAGTGATCTGTATCGACCGCTACATCAGCGTAGTCCATCCCAGGAAAAGGAACATCCTTCAGGTTTTGAAACAGTCACCTAAGATTTCCTTCCTCATCTGGTTTCTCCTCTTGCCACTCACGGTCCCAACCATGTTGAGGACGTTTGAGTGCGGTGCCACTTACAGCCCGGATAAGGACGACAAAATAGATGAGCTCAGGGAGATCATCTTCTTCACCCAGATCTTCATCCCGTTCTTCATTCTGGTGTTCTGCACGGCATGTATCGTCAAGAGGCTCCAGAGGAAGAGCGTGGGGGACAGGGGCAAACTTCGGCGGGCCGTGTTTGCTGTGACCTCCGTGGTGGTGGTCTTTTCCATCTGCTTCCTGCCCCGTGCTGCGTCTCGCATAGCTGTGCTCATCATATGGCACCAGGATCACTCCATCACCCAAGAAATCGCGGCTCAAGTCTACGACGGCATCATGTGCTTTTCTCACATTGACTGTTTGCTGGATCCACTTATTTACTGCTTTTGCAGCTCAAAATTCAAAAACACTTACCTCTCGACTATCTTTCCCTATTTTCAGAAGAAAGTTAAAGATTCGGAGGAAAGCTAAATCGATCTCCAGACACAAACTGACACGTAGGACAAAATGGAGATGAAAGCTCCACAATTCCATAATCACATGGAAAACACTAAAAAAACATGCAGCCGTGTTTTAAGTGTAAACATGATAAATATATGTATTTAAAATGTTTTATGTATGTTTTAAGCATTTATGTATTATCAGATGTAAGACATTGTAATGTGATATTAAGGTTTAAACCCTTGACACTAATATGTATTAACATGATAACAATGACTCATGCATGGAATACTGATATAGCGATTCGTCATGTACAGGTACGTGAATGAGTTTCTATGCAAAGATCTCTACCTCTCAAATAAGGAGATTTTCCTGATTCAACTGTGATTCATTGTCTTTCGTATTTAGTCACCTTGTTCCAGTTACCTATGCCCTTGTTTACCAGTTTTTTTTTACTAATGTAAAGTTTTAACTGTCTTTGTTGTGAAGAGATACATTGGCATCTGTCTATTGTTGATAAAAAGAAAGTGTTAATAGCTCTCTGATGATTAATAAAACTTTTTTACAAGCTGAAATTCACACGTCATGCAAGCCGGGAGACTTTTCTAATTGACGTCAGATCTGTTGAGACAAGACTAGACCCCGCTGCTTTGGAAAGGAGGGTGATTGAACCCAAGGGGCAGGAATGGGACTCCCTGGAATTCAGTTCATAAGTCCTGGGGGCACTTATGTCCATGGTGGAGAATGGTGTGGAGTGGTAGCTGACCTTCTGAGCCCTGAGTCCTAAGGTATCAGGCAGAGGGAGTTAGCCTTGAAGCACAAACCTGCATTTCTGCACTGAGAAATAAACTTGCATGTGTCCGTCATTTTTTTTCTGTTTTTAATTTCAACAAGCACCTTGGCAGGGGTCAATTAAGGTAGCAAATTACAGAAGCAAATTACAGAAGCCTTCTGGGAAACATCTTCTGCTTTTTGACCTTTGATGAGCACATTGCAGCACGTCTAACAGGCTTACCCAGGAAATTATATCACGCTGCTAAAGCTTTAAACAGTTTCCGTAAGAGACCACACCCCACACATTAAGAACAGAGCAAACTGGGTGTGTACATGTTTTCCCTGAAGAATATGTTCGTCATTTTTTGTTTTGCACTCAACTTACTCTGAATGCTACTGATACCTAGAGGTACATAGTTCAGGTCCAGAAAGTAAAAATCCAGACCAAGATTTTGTTTCAACCATCCAGCTGAGTACTCTGTGACTGTGACTCTGTGCTCAACTGGCTGGGTCAAACAAAATCTTGGTCTGGATTTTTACATTCTGGACCTGAACTATCCATCACTGCTGATACCTGTCTCCACCCATTTCAGCTTTTGGTTTTAATCATTGCTGCAGTGCCGTGCTTAAATTCATGGGCGTAAATTATGGAGGTGATGGACGGGAGTAACCCCCCCTCAATAATCAAGACTGGCCAGTACAGCCCCTAGTTGGGACATGTATATCATATGGTTTTGGTCTCTTCCCCTGGACATTCATGAGAAACAGTCATTTAACAGCCTTTTTGTAAAAACAAAAGAACCCTCTGGGGGGGGGGGGGGGTCATGGTTTGGTGACCTCAAATCAGTGTTGAACCCTTCAATTCTATAGTAACGCATGTGTGTTTCTTTGGATATGTGGTACAGCATTCACCTTCAAATAGAAAAATACAGGCAAAGCTGGAGTGTTGGCAATGTTAGGCAAGGTGACGTGATGAAGACCTGGACTGAAGAAAGTCAGACGCCTGCTCTGCTCCTGCTGCACTCTCTGGAGCTGCTCCACACGCTGCTGCAAAGACTGCTCTGGCTGCATGGACTGCTCTGGCTGCATGGACTGCCCCAGATAGCCTGAACGCTAAGGAATGGTGATACAGTTTCTACACTAGCTGTCTCCATTGCGGAAAACCATTGATTTCAATTACATCTTCACTGGGAAAACAAGCAAGGTTGTAGAGTGGGAGTTGGGGCTGATTTGGTCCCTTCCAATGTTGAAACCAAACATACACCCTTGAAAACAAGTACTGTTTTTCACGAGTGACATTTATGGCCTCTGTTCCAGCATGTCTAAAAAAATAAACAGAACTACAACGCTCTTTCATATGTGTAGTGATCACGAACATGGATTCACAGGTCTGAGGATTCACAATTAAGAGGATGAAAAAGTAGGTCATGCATGATTTAAAGACATGGCAGAGGGATCTCCACTGACCTGAGAACATTCAGAGTGCTGAAGGCTTAGGACATAGGGACTCGAAGGGTCTCTAGTCCCCTTAGGGATGGCGGTATTATCTCCCCACGTGTCTTGTGAAGAGAGGTCACTTTGCATAGCACTATCACAGAGGCTGCAAGGGGCAATGGAAGCTCATTGGACAATCACTGGGAAAGGTCTGCTGAGAGAAAACAATGCAGTTAGTTTGACATAAATGTTACTATGACTCACATGTTGCAAATGACTCCATTGGGGTGATTTTATCTTTCGGTGTTCCGGCAGCGTTGACTCATTCGGCGCTCATTAGAACACAAGCAACATTTACAGTACAGGCAAAATGACAGCATCCTTAGTCTTTCAAATGAAAATGAAATGCAGAAAGAACACTGCAATGGAAAAAGTCCTAATTTCTGTGGAACTCAACGTGAAATAAACTGGCACATTAGAAACTGCAATTAGTGTGGATTAGTGCAAATCCTTACAAAAAGGTTTCATGGTATTATCATGTTTGCAAGGGTGTAATGGATTGTATTTTCTGTGTTTTCCTATTTTGTGCATGGTGCATTTAAGGTATGATATACATATGGATTATGTTCCTAGTATTTGAACAGTATTTTATTTTATACTGTGGTACTGTATTCTGTTACATCCCATGGTATTTATTTCTAACCTGTATTGGAACTATGCTGTTCAGTACTCAAGGTAATGCCAAGAAGCACATACAATACAGTTCCCTTACAAAATAGTAGCTATTATTGCGATTATTTCATTTGTACTGGATTTGGTGAATCTGAGAATTTCAGCCAAGCAACTCGCAGAACTTACAATGCTTTTACCATTGTGATTGTAAATTAAAGCCAAGGGATGGAAAAGTGGTATTACTATGCTATTACTTTGATGAAAATACCACAGTACGTTTTGCAAGGGAATGCACTACGCAATTAATTAACTGGAAAACGAGCGCCATTTCTTTACAAATGGATTAAATGAACACTAGTTGTGAAAGAATGCGGTTTAAAATGTGTTGTTAAGTGTATATATGTTATAATTAACCTCGAAAAGATAAAACATAAGTGTAAAAAATAAAGTTTTCCTAATAAATCCTTACCGTGGCCTTTTCCATAACAAAATACGATCGCCTCTGTTACATATGCGTCGTTATTAGTTACAGTCACCCTAAACAACGCACAGCGTCTAGCGCTGGGTTAAAAAAGGGATTACTTACAGGGTTGTTATAATTAAAGATATCCTATTTAAAAGAAAAATGCCTCAGTAACTAACCCCAAAATGTGCGTTATTTTCAGATTTATTAGATAATTTTAAGTAATACTCGAAAGAGAGTTGGACTGTCAGAAAGCAAAGCTCGAGTAAAAATTAGTGGTCGAGCCAAATTCCAAATTTGTATGTTTTTTTTTTTAATACAATAATAATTAAAAAATGTTTGGTATATTGAGGTATGGACAGTTAAACACGCTTCACCATACTTTAATCGAAAGCAAATGCAGGAAGACAAATTAAGAATGAAATATATTAAATTAGGTATATAGTTGTTTCTTTTACAGGGTTGACCTATGTTCCATGTTTTGTTAGGACAAAGATTGACTGACGAGCACTAATCGGACTGTTTGTCCATCCGGACCGATAAGGGTAAAAACGCACGGGGTCCGGCGCGCGCCGCTTGTATAGGCGTCGCGACATGGCCGCGTGCAGAGCATCCATCCTCTTCTGCTCACTTCTGTGCGCAGGTAAGATTTGCTCTTGATTTGACGTTTTCCATTTCATTTTCAGTTCCCTTTTATTCTCCTAACTGCCACAACAGTTTTAAGACCTGTTCGAACATGCCTATAAAAAATATACGATTCCTGTATTTTAATTAAAATTATTATTTCTTTGTCATGGGTAGTGATAAATATATTTATTGTAAATATATTTGCTTGTGGCACAGGCAGAAACATAACTCTGGACACAATATGTATTTCCTGGTGAGTTACTGGCCTCGGGTTCAAGGGTTAATGACCCATAGTGGAAAATAGTACAAACAGGTTTCAGCGGTTCCCGAAAATGTTGCACAAATATTACTTTGCTTTTAATAAGTCAGTTAAATAACAGATAATAAGAGTAATGGATTTGTGCCCAGTTGTGCCTTCTGTGGACATACGGTAGGTTTTGTACCTAATCAGGAGAATGAAATCTTAGGAATTCATTACTTTCTTTGCGATAATATTTGCAGTTGTGCCATTTCCCTGAGCCGAATGCCGTCGATGATCGTAGCTGGTTTACAACCTCCTGTGTCTGTGTGCCTCTCTAGGGACTGCCAGTTTTTTAGATGAGTACATAAAAATGGAGGGCGGTAAGATTTACTCTGATATGAAAAGAGAGTACCATGCAGAGACAGCCCTTGAATGTGCACAAAAGTGCAATGAGGAACGCGATTTTACTTGCAGGTATGTAAATTTGACAATGACTTCGAAGGGCAAAATTGTAACTAATATGAGGAAAATAAGATTTTTTCATGTCATACCTATCAGTTACCTGGAATAAGTCAGAATAGTGTAGCTGCAAATTTTAGCTAGAAGACAGGAATCCATTAAATTATCAGACCAACATCACATTTTATTTGTAATTATTTTGCCAATACGTCCTGCTGAAATGTATGATAGACTTACATAACAATGAGGGAAAGGACTGGAAAAGGATAACCTGGACGCTGCCTTCTCAGGTAACTTTGCTGGCATTTCTGTCCTTTTCAGGTCCTTTTTGTACATTGAGAAGGATGAGAAATGTACAACAGTATCAACAAACTCAAAAATGGAAACGGTGCAGCGTGACTTTATCACAGTGATGTACGAAAAGAAAGGTGAGGGAGCAAGGGATTGTGGGAGACTGCCAGGGGTATCTTACAATGTTTATGATGGAAATGAAATATTCTGCATATAATGATGAGAGTGCTGTGGACCCAGTACAGCATGGTTAGCATTCTGTGATTGTTCCAACCTGGGACAATGTGCCGGCCTTGCTGGAAGACTTGGGCAACCAACAAAATCCTGTCATAATGCATTTTAAGGAAAAAACAAACTTTATAGACATTCAAATAAGGGAGGGAACAGGGGAGCAGTGCAACCACCCAAACTAAAAGGGATCCATCAAATGGTGTTTGACACCTTAGAGTTACTATACTAACCTGCTGTCACACCCTTCCATACACAAATGGTAACTGAAATAAAAGGAATAAAGCAACTTCACCTTTATTATTAATTTTTGTGTGTTCTGATGCCGTGACTTTTATATATTAAATATTTTGGTAACACTGTCCTTGAATGGACACAAATAATGCAGTATTATGCTATTACGTATACGTATTAATTAACTACAAAATAAATCTTAGTTACATACTGACCTCATGTTAATTCATCATTAACGAATCGTGATGCATCTTTTATCTCAAGCACTTACTATATTTGTTACTATATCTGTTAATTCTGTAAACGTTTGTGAACTACTGAAGGAATAAGTAATGAATAACACAAGTGAAATACTGATCACATGTTTGTTCCTCATTAATGAATCATGGTGCATTTTTCATCCCAGGCAGTTACTATATTTGTCACTCTAGCTGTAAACGTTTGTGATCTATTGAAGTAATGAATAATACAAGTGAAATATTGATGTCATGTTTGTTCATCATTAATGAATTGTGACACATCTTTTATCTAAAGTAGCAACTATGTTTGTTAATGATTTGTACTTCAAATCATTATTATTATTACTACGTATTTGTGCTCCATCAAGCAAAGTGTTCCCTATGTATTATATTTTCTCTCATTTGACATATTCCCTGATAGTGACAGAAAGTGGTCAATGTGGTAAAAGACCCCAGCAATTTTTTGGTAAAAATTGGTTAATATTTGACTTTGTGAGGTGAATTTGCATTTTTGTGCTGTAAACATGGATGTAAAGCTCATTCTGTAAATGAACAGTTTTGATAGCAGAACTACTGTGAAAGAAAATGGAAACTAAATCTTGTGCTGACGTCTCACCTTTTATGGCCTAACAGCTAACAGCGTTAGCTTATGAATTACCATTATTTTTAAATAAGAAGAGCATGCATTCATAAAGGCACATTCATGGAATACCACTGTTGTGGTGGTTTTTTTTAGCAGCTATTAAAACCACTGGCCATTGAGTGTATGTTACAGTGTGAGTGTAAGCCTGTGCTCACATGTGGATGAAGCACTCAATGATGGTTAAACATCTCTTGAAGTCTGCGCAGCTCATCACACAGTCGATGATCTCTTTTCAGAGTATTTGGCTGAGTGCAAAAATGGCTTCGGATCAAATTACAGAGGGTTGATTTCCAAAACAATGTCTGGCAAGACGTGCCAGAGATGGGATTTGAATCACCCGCATAAAACAGGGTACGTCTGTGTTTCATTTTCATAAATTTATGATATACTTTTTAAATAGCTTTTGTCAATAATAATAATAGTGATACTACTGTTTGCATTTAGCATAATGAGCAAAGCAGATAAAAGAGCAACATAAGATTGGACACCATACGTAACTATATTCTTTTTTGCAGCATTTCACCATTAACACACCCAAAATCCAACCTGGAGTACAACTTCTGCAGAAACCCCGATGGAGACAGTAATGGTCCTTGGTGCTACACGACGGACCCAGACACACGTTGGGAACACTGCAACATCAGGGACTGCAGTGGTAGGGTCACTGCACAGCGTCACACATGGAACAGCAGCATGAATCTCAGGAAACCTCAGACTTTTCATTCGCAATTGACATAAAATGTGCAGAGTGTCTTTAAAAACAGGGAGCTGTGCAGTGCGGCTTATTGACTTTGACTGTTGTGTCCAGTTAGCATTGTTGTGACTGGCCCAGAGGAATGCATGCACTGCGGGGGAGATGATTATCAAGGGAGAACCTCGACGACTGAGAACGGCTATACCTGCCAGCGCTGGGATTCCCAGACGCCTCACTCTCATGGATACTTCCCTGAACTGTAGGTGTATCGGCCGGAGAATCTGCCTCACCTCTTAGTGAGGGGTCAGTTTCAATATTCCAGCACCCGGGGCCTAAATACAAGCATGAAATATTTGCGTTTTGAAATAAGTTTTTCAATTCTCATTAAAGCAATGACAAGGATGCATTCACACAAAAAGGACCAACTTAAAAGCTGAATGTACAGTGGATGTTGCCCTTTGTGTAACTCCCAGGCTACCAGAGAAGCACCTGGAGGAGAATCACTGCAGGAACCCAGATGGTGAAATCCAGCCTTGGTGTTTCACCACCAGCCCCTTCAAGCGCTGGGACTACTGTGCCATCCCTCGCTGTGGTTAGTCCAGGAAGCACGGGGGGGGGGTGGATCAGAGTGTGTTGTGATTATGGAGATCAAAGTGAAAATTAATTGGTATGGTTGCATATAGAAGGAATTGGAAGCATGTGGAGCTTAATGAATCTTTAGGATTTTTATAGTAGCAGATGTGACCTGGGTAGATTCACCTTCTGGGTCCCGCCCTCCAGCCAATGCCCCGCCCACTACAGTAGAGGAGCGCATGTGTGTCACGGGAGACGGACGTGACTACAGAGGCACTGTTTCTGTCACAAAGTCTGGGAGGACGTGCCAGATGTGGGACAGCCAGATGCCACACAAGCATTCCACAACAGAGTACTACCCCTGCAAGTAAGGCACATCACGCTCCTCTGATCCATTTTAGTGCCATTATTATTGTAATTTTAACATTGTTAGGGTGACCGGTTTAATATTATACAGGCATATAATTATGGCATCAAAAATTTCAAGTGAGTAAACATGTTTTGCATGGATTAAAGAATTTGTTAGGCAGCTAAATTGTAAGAAGCCCATTGCATGTACTGTACACCCAGAAGAGGTAGACATTTCCTACAGCAGCCAGGACTTATAAAGAGTTAATTATGAAGATAAATGTGGTGACAGTAAGAAATTCTTTAAAATGTAAATATCAGACTCTGTTTTAATTTGCCCATTCAGACTGAATGTTTGTGTAACTTTACTGTTCTGGTTGTACAAGTGCAGTTTGCTGGCTGCACATTGGTTAACTACACATGGTAGCTTATTGCCATAACCGAAGAGCAGAAAGAGGAAACCAGATGAAATTCATCACTAACACACATGCTGGTGTTATTTGTACTGTTTATGACAGCATCCGAAGTCAACATTTCCTTTTTTAGGGGTCTTACATTGAACTACTGCAGAAACCCCAACAACGAGAGAATGCCGTGGTGCTACACCACAGACCCGGATACCCGGTGGGAGTACTGCAAGGTCCCCAGCTGCGGAGATGTGCCCAGCCCAAGTAAGGCCTACTTTTAGGGCATATACTACAAAAATGAGCGAGTTCTGTTTAGAACAGTGGACACCAACCGGTACATTGGCAAGATAGTTCTAGTCAATCAACACCAAATGTATCAACGCCCCCCCCCCCCATCAACAAAACATACCAACAGGGGACCCCAACCCCTGGTTGGAAAAATCAATGTAATATGAAATGTAATATAATCAAATATAATATTCTTTGTAAAAGTAGCTCTCGTTCTTAAATTTTTTTGTAAACCTCTATTTTACATTATTGCCTGAACATTATCCTTGACTCTCCCTGCCGGCCCCTGGAGGATTGGCTCCCCCTTTGAGTCTGGTCCCTCCCAAGGTTTCTTCCTTCTCTGGAGTTTTTCCTTGCCACTGTCGCCTATGGCTTACTCACTGGGGGCTTTGGGTGGGGATGCTGTAAAGCGCTTTGGGACGATGTAATGTTGTGATAATGCGCTATACAAAAATAAATTAGTTGTTGTTGTTGTTTCTCTGGCATTTACTAACATTTTTAACTATTAGTGACACTCTTTTAAAGTAGACTTATGGAAAACCTAGCTTGCAAATGTCCAACAATGACTCTGAACTTGAGAACCGGACATCATATACTCAGATGTACATACCGACGCGCTCCCAAACGACTCCTTCCGACGTTGCCTCACATCCAGCCGACGTACCGGTACTGCAGCCAGTCAAACCCAACGTCCATCCAGTGACAGACTGCTACAAGAACAACGGGATGTCTTATCGCGGCGTCACATCGGAGACGATTGGCGGAAGGCAGTGCCAGGATTGGAGTGCTACTTCCCCTCACTTTCACAAGAAGACACCGGGGAATTACCCAAACGCGTAAGCCTCGCTTCGGAGGGATGACGGGAGCTGAACACAGTGGGGGGTGAGATGAAGCCAAAAAGCATTTCCTACTCCTCTGCAGAGACTTGACGAGAAACTTCTGCCGGAATCCCGACGGTGACATCGCCCCCTGGTGCTACACCACCGACCCCTCTGTGAGGTGGGAGTACTGCAAGGTGGAGCAGTGTCGGGAACTGCCGGTGGAGGAGACAGCTCTGAAGCCACGAGAGCCAAACCCAGAGGTGGGTGAAGGTAGGTACGTCTGTGGGTTTGTCATGATGCATGTTAGTTAGTTCGTCAGTGATTTACCCAACCTACACATTGGGTCACTGTCCAGTTTAGCTGGGTCGTCACAGACACAAGAAGAACCTTTAGTTAGTAGTGTGGGTATCTGTCAACCACAGGGGTCCTGGAGAGGTGCACCGGAAAACACCAAGTGAAATCCACACATAGCTGAAAGCAGGGGTGGAAGGGGGGTGGGGAGTCAGGGGAATTCCAAGGACCCCTGAGTGACAGGGGCCCAAGAAGTTTGGAACATAATTTGATTGGTCTGGGTTAGGGGCCCAAAATGTCTATCGGTGCTCCAGGTTGAAAGCGTCACACAATTGCAATTAGACAAATCTAAGACAATGCAAAATCTCGGTACTGGCTGCCTTTCTACTAAAACAATAATATATTTAGTACGGCTTTGGAAACAATTAAGGTACCACAACACAATTTTTTGTTTCAATAATTTCTCAGTTTGAATCTGGGTTTGTATCTGCGAATAATACACTGTGCAGACGCTCCTCTCCTTACAAATGAGATACGTTCCGAACGGCCATTTGTAACTTGAAATGTTCGTAAGTCGTTAATCAACATCATTTTAAGGGTATACGCAAGTACAAAGAACTAGGATGCTGGGAGTATGCACACTACACTGCTGCGCGATGGGAGTAGCGGCCAGAAGTTTGTACTACCCAGAATTGGCACGCAGAAAAAAACTATTGATGTTGCAGACAGGAAATGGTAACCCAAAGAACACAATTTGGACTTACAGTCCTCTTCGTTCGTATGTCTGAAAGTTTGTAAGTTGAAAGTTCGTAGGTAGAGGAGCATCTGTATATTTTTTGCAAACTCCAGGCTGGCTCATCCCTGCTTCTCACTAATGAAGGGCTTCTTCCCTGCTTTATGGGCCTCCAGTCCTGCTTCTGTGAGCCTGATATGAACTGTCCTAGCAGTGCACTTCACACCTGCACTTAATGTTTCCCATTCCTTTTGAAGGTCACTTGATGTCATCTTACAATTGATGAGAAACTGTCGGACAAGTTGACGGTCATCTCTGGCATTAGAATGTCGCTTCCACCCTCTACCTGGCTGGTTTCTGGTCGTTCCCAGTGTCTCCTGCTTCACCTTGTTCTTGTGTACTGCTGTCTTAGACACTTTGAGCCTGGAAGCAGCCTGTCATGCAGTGTAGCCTTCTGCCAGCAGAGCCAGGATTAAACCAGGATTTAAAAATGCATTTTAAAAAAAAAAAAAAAAAAAATATGGAGTGGTCTCTTAATTTTTTCCCAGAGCTGTATATTTCAATAACTACAGTAAGAGTACTTAAATGAAGTTTCTATAGATTTCGCATTGCTCACATTGTGGCATATAAACCTGTGTAACATCAGGGGAAAAATAAAAAACGTTTCTGCACACAACAAGCAAAGCACACTTGTAGGCAAATGTTTCTGGATACACTTTGCAGCCTAAATGCAAGCTAAAATTCCTAGCTACACAATGCTAATGATAAAAATGGTACAATATGTATTTCAAAATATATCCTACATCATGAGCCCTGTGATGGGTTGGCACCCCATCTTGCGTTGTTCCTTGCCTTGCACCCGTAGCCTCCGGGATTGGCTCCAGCCCCGCTGCGGCCATACTTGGATCTGGGGGGTGGCAAGGGGTGGGCGTGGCCACCGTGGACTGAAGTCACCCCATTGGCCACCCCTGTCGTATTTGCATTTTAGTGGTTAAATCAGACTTTGATTTAAAAACTCCATTTATTTCGTAACTGCTTCTCTGTGTCCCTCATGATATACTGATAAAGAATGAACTCAGTACTGCTGAGCTAAACATGTGCCCTCAGAGCAGCAGTAATGCAGAAGTTCGGGATTCTTGTACTTAATGTAAGCCTGCTACCGTAACTGCAAGGAATTGATATATTAAATGTGTATTTGATCATTCCACCACTGCCTGAATAAAAAACAAATCTAGAGTTATAGTGTTTAGGTACCTTAAATATTCCTGTGTTTCCTTATCATTTAGATTATTTAGATTTATGTGCCACCCCAAAATGACCTCTGATTCTACCCTGGCCAACCCACTGAAAAATTTCTGGCTCCACCATGCCCTTGACCCTGAAGAGGACAATTGTTTACAGAAAATGAATGGATGGATTGATAGTAAACATCATCATCCATCTTCTGTTCATCTGGTACGGGGGGGAGGGTGAGGCTAGAGTTACCCAAGAATCAAAGGGCACAAAACACGGGGTGACTCTGGATGGGGTGCCTGTTCATTACATCTAACAGTGTCTTCGATACAGTCGTGGAGGGAAAACAATTAATGCAAAATTCAAGACTAACCTTAGTGAAAGAGGGAACAGTTAAACTTTGGTTTGGTTTGGGTTAAATTTAGGTTCTACTTGGGTTAAATTTGGCTGATCTATCCGCCCTGATAGGTATGTTTTACCGCTCCCCACACTTTGATTAGCATATTAATAATGTTTCATCTTCTTTAATTCCCACTCCTTTCTATTTCAGCTCCATAAATAGCAAGAATGGCCCAGTTAGGGGGGGGGCATTACCTATGTCAGCCCAGGGCCACCCCCCCATCCTCTCTGTTATTTATGCTCAGGGGTGGATGGATCAGTGTGAAATTATTTTGTTTACAGTAATATAATTATCGTCACTAAGTTTTTAAAAACATTTAAAATGCTTTCAAAATGACTGAGGCCTCAGCTAGAACCACACAATGCATCACCGGTGACTGTAACTCTCAGCCTTAGACTGCAAGGACGGCAACGGACACAGTTACAGGGGCTCCACGTCGGTCACCTCCTCGGGAGTGACGTGCCAAGCCTGGAGTGCCGTGACTCCGCACCAACATGCCGCTTTCACCCCAGAGACGCATCCAGACAAAGGCCTGGAGTCCAACGTAAGTCCCGCAGCTGTGTTACTTCAAATATCCTGTTAGTAGTTTTACGAGAACGATACGTAAGAAGTGTATCATGCACATTAAAGACAAGGACTTCAGGATTTCAAGGACTAAACACCACTACAAATAACAGAAACACCACATCTGTGGTCTGCAGAGTAGCTCTGTCATGGGAAAGACATAATTTCTTGACTCGCTTTGGCAGTTTAAGATCACGATGCGATAAGAAAAGCAATGTCCCCGCTTTCGTAATCAGCAATGCAGAAACCCGGACAACGACAGCAAAGGACCTTGGTGCTACACGATGGACCCAAACAAAAAGTGGGATTACTGCGACATTCCAGACTGTGGTAAGGAAGTCTCCTTAAAGGGATAGTCACAGGCGCCAAGCGGAAACACGGGGGGGGACTGGCCGTGCTGGTGCCTGGATCCCTAATTATCATCTGCTGTATCGGTGTAGTTATTCTGGGCAGGAGTGTCTGCTGTACAGTGCAATGTAATCATGTGACCCACAAAATGACTGATACCAATAACATCTGTATCATATCAGGGTCACAGTGATCGGGAGGCCAACCCTGGATCTGTGCTGCTGAGGGACAAAGTGCCTGAAGGGGAAGCCTGTCCATCAGAGAGCAGCCACTCACACACACAGACACACAGACACACACACACACACACACACACACAGGTTTGTAATCATATGTTTGTGGGGACTCTCCATTCATTTCTATGGGGAAAACTCTAATCCCAACATGACAACCTTAACCCCTACCCAGCCCTAACCTTCACCATAAGTAAACAAACAAAATACGAGACTTTTGGCATTTTTACTTTTTTGAATGCATTCACGGATCTTTGTGGGGACCTGAAAAATGTCAAAAAACAGGCCAAGCAAGCTGCAGTGATATTGGTCATTAGTGGGACGTGACATCACCCCCCCCCCCCCCAAGTGCCAATTTGTCTTTTCTAGATTTAAATTTGGATTGCATGAATAGCATGATGCAGACTGTGCTCACAAACCCTGCATGATTCACCACAAACATTGTGTTCCATACACAAATGCACTGTTCTGGTTTTTAATAAAGTTCTGGAAATTCTGTGTCAGTTTTTACCTTGGAGCAGAAATTATTAATCATCTATTTAATTGCCACTTCCTGTGATACAAGTAAGTTTGTTCCAAAAGAAAAGAGGGAACACCTTTATTGGTCTTTTTATGTTCATTTGTCTTTTTCATTGTAGTGCAATACTATATCCATTGATCCATATACATATACTGTACAGCTCTGGAAAAAATTAAGAGACCACAGCAAAATTTTCAGTTTCACTCACTTCTCAATTTATGGGTATCTGCCCGTGTAAAACATACATTTTTATTCTATTTGAAAACTCCAGCCTTGCTCTTCTCTGCTCATTAATGAGATACATCTTCCTTGCTTTATGGGTCTTCAGTCCTGCTTTTAGGAGCTTGATATGAACTATCCTAGCAGTGCACTTCACACCACTTAATGTTTCCCATTCCTTCTGAAGGTACTTGATGTCATCCTCTGTGTTACTTTGTGTCACAAGGCACTGCAGGATAAGTTGACAGTTGTCTCTGCCATTAGAAAGTCGCTTCTACCCTTCACCTGGCTGGTATTTGGTCGTTCCCAGTGTCTCCTGCTTCACCTTGTTCTTGTGTACTGCTGTCTTAGACACTTTGAGCCTGGAAGCAGCCTGTCATGCAGTGTAGCCTTCTGCCAGCAGAGCCAGGATTAAACCAGGATTTAAAAATGCCAGCAGGACCATGATTAAACCAGGATTTAAAAATGCCAGCAGGACCAGGATTAAACCAGGATTTAAAAATGCATTAAAAAAAAAAAAAAATGGAGTGTTCCCGTTCTCTTAATTTTTTCCAGAGCTGTATATACGTATGCCACAGCTTCTGTTAGGTCAAGATATTTTCTTCGGAAAAAGCTGTTTGTTAGTGCCAGGTAGGCAAGACTAAGAAAAGATAGGCCAAACAAACTCCCCTTGCTATTACATTCACATGACATTACGTACAGTACATGAGCAGATTTATATAACAGGTTTCTACCAAACCCAGGAAGGACACAGAGGAGGGTGACACCCTGGACGGGATGCCAGTCAGGCACACACCCACAAGCACTATAGGAAAACCGATTCATCAGCTCAAACGCTTACAAAAAAAAAAAACGCTTATTCTTCTGCCTGTAAGATGCCGCAAACAGCAGCAGGTAGTGGAGGTAGCACATGGCCTGATAACGAGATCCCTCGCGGTATAGATTACATAAAATCCCTCGCGGTATAGATTACATAAGATTCCTCGTGGTATAGATTGCATAAGATCCCTCGTGGTATAGATTACATAAGATCCCTCGTGGTATAGATTGCATAAGATCCCTCGCGGTATAGATTGCATAAGATCCCTCGCGGTATAGATTACATAAGATCCCTCACGGTATAGATTACATAAGATCCATCGTGGTATAGATTGCATAAGATCCCGCGCGGTATAGATTACATAAGATCCTGCACGGTATAGATTACATAAGATCCCTCGTGGTATAGATTACATAAGATCCCTCATGGTATAGATTACATATAGCTAATGTCTGATCCCTGGTAGCCAAGTCAGTTAAACCATGCTATTAAATGTTATTAAAACTGTAATACAATGTAGTTAAAATGTAATAAAAAGGTTTGACTCAGGCATAGGAGACTTGCAATATATAACCTTACTACATATTACCTGCGTAGTAGGTCCCTTTGTAGGAAACTGCCAAACATCTGTACTTAGAAGCTAAATTTACATAAGTACTTAAATTTACTTAAAGTATTTAAAATGTATATTTACTAAATATATTTCATTAAATATATTTATAATTAATCTAAATTTATATTTAAGATTTATTATTATATATTTAAGGAAATTAAGAACCGATTTGTTTTTCTCATGCATAAAGTACTATCCACGTATAGTATTCTTATTTAATATTATTACTATTATTGTCAATATTATTATTATTACTGAATTGTTGTTAAGATTATTATTGGTAAGTTTAATATCCATAATATACACAACCATTTGTAAAATGTCATCCTTTCAGAAATATAAAGAACTCTTGAGCAATATTGTGGATCTTGTCAACACTGCTTTATTTGATGAGACAGAGTTAGGTTTTAGTTAAAAATTAAACAGTTCCAAATATATTAAGGCATCCTAAATTAAATGCTTTTTTTAAAGAAAATCATTTATTAATTTTTCAACTCAATGATGGGATTATAAATTTGGACCGCAACAGTAAAATGAATGAAAATCGAAATATGATACATTACGCATAGATGCCTCTTTCATAGTTCACTGGGACACCAGGACTGACCTATGCTCTGTGTCCTTGTTAGGACAATGATTGACTGATGAGCAATATCTTTCTGTTTGTCTGTCGAGAAGTGATCAATAGAGGTAGAAGGGTGACAGGTCCTCGGCGTGCGCTGCTCGTCTGTGCCTCGACATGGCAGCATACAAAACAGCCGTTTTTCTCTGCTCACTTCTGTCTGCAGGTAAGCCAGTTACATTAAGAAACATCAAGAAATGTAAGGCATTGCATCATCGGGGGGAATGCTTTATGATTTATTTAAAATCCAAAGTGTTTTTTTACTGTTTCAGGATCATATCATTTTAATTGTAACATTAAAATGAGTTTTTATCTTCAAAAGAATATGTAAAAAATATGTAGCAACTGGCACAGTTGGTGGTTGACATTGAGGTATTATTTGTAAACTTACTTTTTTATTTAAGGTGAAGCAAACAACACGTCACATTACACTGTCAGAAAAAAGTACCAATTTGTATCTTTGAGGGAACCGTTACTTGTCACTAGGGCTGTATCCTCAAGGGTCTGCCAGTTGTACCCTAGCTGTAGGTACTAGTACCTTTTAGTCTGATTTAAGGTACTGAAATGGACTCTGAGGAACATGGGAGTACGTTAATGTTGTTTCTACCTTGTAACGCTTTTTTCCCTGACAGTGTATGTTATTAATTTGAAAAAAAGAAAGGAAAAGATAACAAAAATTAACAATAACCATTAAATGTTATAATATATTATATGTGTAGATTGTGAGGGCTCTTTCTGTACTTTTTCCATTAACGAGGGACATGTCTTTGTGTGTGTGTGTGTGTGTGTGTGTGTGTGTGTGTGTCTGTGTGCATGTTCCGCCGCCTTCCCCAAATGCACGCATTTAGTTATTTGATTAGAATTTTCAATAAAAAAACCAACTAACCAACCAACAGGGGCACTGTTACAGATTTTGGGCCCCATAGCAGCATGTCATATTGGGCCCCCACACAGACCAATCCCCCCCCCCCACCCCGTTAGGGCACCCCTGATGTTGATAGTCAACAAATACAAATGGAAGAATCCATCTTAAATTTTAATAAATGGGGATTAAGTAAAACAATAGTGCAGTTATAACATTTGAAATGATCCAACGGAATAACCTGGGAATGCATTACAGTGTTTTCAAGGCGTAACTGTATAAATGTTCTGGTTGTAATTGTGCAGAGAAGCAGCACAAACTGCACGATGTCATGCTTATCTGATAAGTTTCTGAGCCTCAGTTCATGCATTTGGAAGAAACTCATCAGAATTTTAGGTGGACAAAATTTCACCTCGTTTAAATGCCATCATAGATCTGTCACAGGTATATTATTCAGCTTGGTTCTGATAACAGCGTCCCATTCAGTGTCCTGCAAGTAAATGTGTATTCTGTGTCTGTCCAACTATTGCAGTGTCTGCCAGTGTTTTAGAGGCATACATCAAGACAGAGGGGGCCTGGATTTTTTCACTGGTGAAAAATGAATATTCTGTAAAAACAGCTCTTGACTGTGCACTGAAGTGTAGTGATGAATCAGACTTTACTTGTAGGTATGTTTATGGAATTCATTTTAAATTATTATTTATATCCTTTAATTTTATCTCTGATATTCAACCGAATAATAAATTAAAATAAAATAGTATTTCAATTCTGTGTATTAATTCTCATTAGTACTCATAAAATGGAAAGATACTGCTTTCAAATTCAAAAAAAGATAATAGCTCGTAGTGGAGCCTATTTTTGTTTTTAAGTTGAAGATCAACATCGCATGAAACACAGTAACTGAGAAATTGCAGAAAGTCTAACAAAAGCATACGATTGACTGGAAGAGACAGAAGTAACGTCGCATTGAGTTCAATTTTATCAGTGTTAATGTTTCTATCCTTTCAGGTCATTTATGTATATTGAGAAGGACCAAGAGTGTATAACACTGCCCGTAAATTCCAAAATGGAACTCATTTTGCGCAGAATGAACATAGTGTTATACGAAAGGAGAGGTAAGTGGACAGGGGACTGTGCAGGAACAAAAAATATCTTATCAAATATGTACTGCATTTGCATTATCATCAAATAATATAATTTATTGTCATACTGCACTAATGTGGGAAGTTGTGTGTGCATCTTTACGTGAAGCTAAATGTACATTAAATGAATTTATGTACTCTACTACTGTGTGCTACACAAAAACATACTTAATGAACAGAATAAATCTGTATTTCCTTATAAAAGATGAGTTACATCAGCATGAGAATGAGGAAATATTAGAAGCCATTTTACTGAGGTAGACATTTAAGCTGTTCTCTGCAGTGAACATTATCAGATTTAATTGTCGGTGGGTGGAATCCCAAAAGCATTACAGCATAAAGACAATTATAATCTCCATTGTAATTGCATTCAAATTATGCCCAGTGTGGAGCCACGGTGCTTCTGGAGAGTATACCTGTGGGGAGTATACCTACGGGAAGTATACCTATGGGGAGTATACCTATGGGGAGTATACCTATGGGGAGTATACCTATGCCCATTTTTGTGGAAAGGCAACCAAGCATTTGCCCATAAGTAATTAGCATAGAAATGGAAGCGTGGCATTTTTGCGTCACAGAGACGTAGTTACCTTGAGGCAAGTAATGACAATCATTGTCAAAAGAACAATTACAGGCATTAATAAAGAAAGGTGATGAGGAACTCTAAAATGTTTATATTATTTGTTAGGTCTGGAAATTCTGGTTAATGTTGCTAACATACCTTTGGATTGTTTGGTGGTTAATGTTTGATCTTTCCGGGATGTCTGATGGATAGTTTGCAATTCCTCTGTCAACTTAGAAGTGTAACACACTAATCAAACAGCATCGGGAACTGAAGTCCCTGTTTAAATTTGAATAATCCCCACCCGACACACATAATTATTAGTCATATAAATTACATCATGTAAAATACAGATTTGTTACCCTTTTAAAGTTTCAGGTCTTCAAACAGACACATCAGTATTGTTTTTCTGTAATTTTTGTAGATTAGAGGGGCAAAGGTTTCTCACTGACCAAATGTTTATTTGTGAAAACAGATTTCGGAGGTCTTTCAGAAGCAGTTGAGCAGAAAGTGCAGCACTATCAACAAGAGTAAAACCAGAATATTCTGTAGTTATAAAATAAAAATGACCAGTCTCAAATGTTACATTTCAGCTGTAGTAGAACTGTATGTTCCTATACTGATGAAGCAGTCAATGATGGTTAAATATCCCCCAGATTTTACACAGTTCATGAAATGGTTGATAATCTCTTTTCAGAATATATGGCTGAGTGCAAAAATGGCATCGGATCAGATTACAGAGGGACGATTTCCAAAACACTGTCTGGAAAAACTTGCCAGAAATGGGAGTCGAATTACCCACAAAAGCCCAAGTATGAAATGAGTAACTTCTCTTTAAATTTTCATTAAATGTACCACGTGTATCACTGAAAATGTGATTAAACCTATAATGAATTCCAACACTAACATTTATAGGTAATAATAAAAATATGCATTAGCGAGATGAACAAAGTAGGTTGCACTAGATAACTGTATAAGACTGGACACCGTTCTTACATCACCATCTTCCTTGCAGTATTACACCGACAACACACCCAAACTCCAACCTGGAGTACAACTTCTGCAGAAACCCTGACGGAGACAGTAATGGTCCTTGGTGCTACACGACGGACCCAGAAAAACGCTGGGAACACTGCAACATTCAGGACTGCAGTGGTAGGGTCACTGCACGGCATCCCACCAGGAACATCGGCATGAATCTTAGAAAGCCTCAGACCGTTCATTCGCAGTTGGCATAAACCGTGAACAAGAACTTGTCAACAGGCTTTAGCGAAAGTTGCGCCTAGTCACCTTTTTCTTTGACAAACCTGCAGAGGAATGCATGCACTGCAGTGGAGAGGATTACAGAGGGAAGACCTCTACAACTGAGAATGGCTATACCTGCCAACGCTGGGACTCCCAGAAGCCCAATGCTCACGGATACATTCCTGAAGTGTAATCACACCTCCTTGCAATGGGACCTCCAATCAATAGAACTGTGCAGACGTCTTAGGCAGTCAAAAATGCGCAAGCCTATTTTTCTGGGTAGCAAGTGTAAAATTGATCAGTTAAAAAAATGCTATTTAGCATTAGAACATATGCAAATTAACAGCAACACAATCAAAAATAAACAAGAATTTCTTCTGTTCCCCCAGAAAAAAATGACTGATATCTTGTTGGACAACTAGATGAACGCCGCTTTAGCTTCCAAACCTCTCCACAGGGGCACCTCAGCCATTCCATGTTTTCAATAAATTTCATCACCAGCTCATTTAATTAATTACTTAAATGAGTTTTAAAAAGTTAATGAGGTGTTGATCAACCATACAACGTGTGCTGGTGGTCAAGTCAAAAATCGGTCCATTGGACGACTGCAGCAAATACTGGAGTGACTTGAGGAGCATACTTTGAAGGTTATACCATCATTGTTTTTACTGCCTAAGACTTTTGCACAGTTCTGCACATAAAATGATTTTTCTTTAACATGTTAATCCTCATAAGGAGGCCAAAGAAAATCCAATGAATGCTTAAACTCAGCATCCTTTGATGCCAAGAACACTCACTCCTCTCTATGTATGACCTCCAGCATACCGGAGAAGTTCTTGGAGGAGAATTACTGCAGGAACCCAGATGGAGAGCCCCGCCCCTGGTGTTTCACCACCAGCTCCGCCAAGCGCTGGGACTACTGCGCCATCGCTCGCTGCGGTTAGTCTATGCAGGCTGCTCAGAAGAGCTGGGGGGTTAGGGACTCAGAGTAGAGCTGCACGATATCACATTGTGATATAATCGCGATATGTGTGCATACGCAATAATCTCCAGGGCTCTAGGTAACGGGCGTAAACATCTATCCCGACGCTGGCTTATTGGTACTATATGGATATTTAATTACGCCCACAATTTGATGCGCAGATTAGTAGTACATCTAAAATATTAATGATATACATACTGTGACGCCCAAAAATTAGTTACCAGTATTAATTCGGCGTATCCTTATGTTTATTAAATCCGGTTAGCGGAGCAAGCTAACGTGGAAATTTTTGCTCTATCATGGAAGCCACAAGCACTGAAGTGGCGGTGAAGAAAGGGACAGATCAGCAGCCACAACACCTTAACAGAGGAGATATTGTGGATAAACAAAGCAAAAGGACGTCAATGGTGTTATGGTACTTTTTCCAGTACATTACATTAAGTAAGAATATGCTGAATTTATACAGGCTACTGACTATTGGGGTGTCACAGTACGCTTCTTCTTAATAATTTAGCTGCACTATGAATCTGCTTACCAAATTGTTGGTATAAGTAAACATCCAAATAGCCAGGGGGCAGCGTGTGGCCCAGTGGGCTAAGCCTCGGTGTCTGTGATCAGAAGGTCACCAGTTCAAGCCCAGCCTCAGCACAGCTGTAGGTCCTTAAGTCAAGCCCTTAACCCCCTCCCCCAGCTCCCTTCTGGGTGGCTCTTCTGGGTGGCTGCCCTTCACAGCCAGCTTGCACTCCTATATGGGGAGGCATAAAGAGAATTTCCACAAGGGGATCAATAAAGTATTAATTACTATAATTATAAATTTATCACCCAAAGCCCTGGTGATTATTGCACATGGGCAATACAATCGCACTCTGGTATTGCACAGCCCTAATAGAGTCAGAGTACCAGATTTCAAAACTCAAAGTGGTATCAGTGATGTCACAGTGCACTGTCAGTTACTTTCTAGTTCAACCCAGTAAGAATGCAGAGCTAATCCATCTGTGATCTGATAGTCGTCAATCATTCCACCGACTGTAGCAGACCAAGGTGCCATTTCTCCGTCTCTGGTGTAAAGTGAAGTACATAAAGGGAGTGGCTGCAGTGGAGAGCACCTGACAGAAACCAGAAGGGTAAGGAGCTTTAAGGCTGGAAGACGTAAGATGGTTTCACCCTTATACTCTTGTCTTTAGGCACTGCTCCACCCAAAATAGTAGAGGAGCTCACCTGTGCCACAGGAGACGGAACTGCCTACAGGGGAAACGTCGCTGTGACTGAGTCCGGGAAAACCTGCCAGATGTGGGACAGTCAGACACCCCACAAGCATTCCAGGACCCCGGAGAACTACCCCTGCAAGTATGGCATACCCTGAAAATGAAATGGTGCTGGAAAAATGAAATGGTGCTTTATTTGCCATTTGTGCAAGACCATTGGATTGTTTCTTTTCACATATTCCATCTTGCTCTTCTTTGAGACATGCACACATATAGCAGTTGACAGTGAATTTCGGGGTCAGAGAGCAGCGCAAGGCTATTTATCTGGCACTATAGGAGCATTTTGGGGGCCCCATATTCCCAACAGTAAATATTCTGCCAAGGCTTGAATCAACAACCTTCTGAGGCCCAACCCGTTGATGCATCCGAGATGTAATGGTTAATGCGGTGCCGGAGCCTCACATCACTACACACAAACCACCGAGATGTAATGGTCAATGCAGTGCCGGAGCCTCACATCACTACACACAAACCAGAGGCCAGAAAGTCTGTCAGACTACAACATGCAGGTCCTTTATTCATGTGTGCTGCATGTATAATTTAGCTGTATGAACAGTGACTCTTTGTTTTGTTGTTTGAAAATGGGATGTGTCATTTTTTTGGGTGCTTCCATTCTGCATCAAGCTGTATTGTGATTGCGGGCATGACATTATTTTGCATTTTATAAAAGTGCGTTGCTTGTAATTTGTAGACTGGTTATGGTGGAGGTCCTTCAACATACAGGGAAATGTGGGGGTTGGTGGGAGGATTGGCACTTCAGCCACTGGAAAAAACTCACTGGTAATTTGGTCTAGTGTGGTGCTGAGGTATCACCCACTGCATGGCTGCACTCAAGATTCTCATCCCTGAGGTGGTTTGTCGCATGTAATCAGCGCATGCCCCCCTTACCTATGGTAGTAAAGATTGTGAGTTGTGAGCATGACCTGTGATCCATCATTAGCCAACAAACTTTAGCGTTACTTGCACTGTTCATGACGGAACCAGTGGCAACGCATTTCCTTTTTTTAGGGGCCTTACACTGAACCACTGCAGAAACCCTGACAACGAGAGAATGCCGTGGTGCTACACCACAGACCCGGATAGCCGGTGGGAGTACTGCAAGGTCCCCAGCTGTGGAGATGTGCCCAGCCCAAGTAAGGCCTACTTTTGGCTAAGTTTAATGGCACAGTCTTTGGTTACAGCCATACCCAAGCGAGACATAGCCCCTTTGTCCAGAGTGATTCTTTCAAAAGCTGCTTGGCCTACCCATTAAAAGATTAGCATACAGAAGAATCCATTAATAAGTTAAGAACTGCAACATTGAACATGACCTCTAGGGGGAATAAAGTTCAAGATGGCAATGTTGAACACAGCCTCTAGGGGCTGACAATCATTAGATGGTAAATACACAATTCTGGTTGGACTTTGGTTTTCAGCAAATGGGACTCCTTAAGACTCAAATCCAGTGTCATAGAGGACACCATCCACGAAAAAAAGAGAAATGTGATATTTTGTTCTCTCTCCGCCTACATACTGTAGTTTCTTGTAGCTCCGTGTGGTTTTTGATCATGACCATCAGAGTTGATGGTATACAGTTGTAGATGTCTAATACTGATTGCCATTTCTATACCTGTCAGTTGAGCCGGTCATCGCCCCGGAGTCAGACTGTTACGAGGGCAATGGGACTTCCTACCGCGGAGTCACGTCTGAGACCATCAGTGGGAAGAAATGCCAGTTCTGGACCTCCATGCAACCCCATACCCACAAAAAGACCCCGCAGAGCTACCCGAATGCGTAAGGCTCAGCTCAAAGCATGGGGCGGGGGGGGGGGGGAATCACCACTAGCCACAAAGCTAACAAAAAGGTGCGAACCATCCTTCGTCTTTCACGTGCAGGGACCTGAGGAGAAACTACTGTCGCAACCCAGATGGGGATCGCGCCCCCTGGTGTTACACCACCGACCCCACTGTGAGGTGGGAGTTCTGCAAGGTGCAGAAGTGTGAAGAGAAGCCCGTAGTGGTCGTGCAGGAGTTCGGAGCAAATGTACCCCAAATGCCACAGCCCACCGAGGCTAACCAGAGATTGCCGGCGGCTGAGGAAGGTAGGTTGGAATAAGAGAACAAATTGAGAAATAAAAGATAAGAAAAAGATTTAAATTGCAGTCCGTATGTACAGTGTCTGATATAGATGCATTGAAATACATTAACACCTTACAAGTGTACATTAGTGGTGTACAAGTGAGGCAGATAATGGATACCAAGCATACAACATTCAAGGAGCATTTCTAATATGACAACTTAAGTCACACATATAAGTATCTGGTCCTCCTTTTTTAAACTTCATTATTAATTAGCAGTTCCCAATGCAGTTCCAGTCCAAGTCAAAAATGCATCCTGACCCCTGGTAACTGTGCCCTTCACAGGCTGTAAGGATGGCAATGGACAAAGTTATAGGGGCCCCGCATCTGCCACCATAATGGGAGTGACATGCCAAGCCTGGAGTTCTATGACCCCCCATCAGCACGCAAGCTTCACCCCAGAGTCACACCCAGACAAAGGCCTAGAATCCAATGTAAGTCTTGGAGCCGGGCTACTCAAACTATCCTATTAGCACTTTTATTTGGAATTAAGCAAGGACATGTCAAGAAAAAAAAAAATCTCTAAAACATGCAGAAGATGCTCGTGGGAGTTTCACTTACACAAAAGGTATTCTGAGGTCAGAATGAAAAATGATTGGTTCAGAGAAATAACCAATCATGATTGTACAGGAGGTGGGTCCAAGCAACTAAAGAAGGCACTACCAAACATTGCATAGGTTGGACCCACCTCCTCTACAATCATGATTGGTTATATCATTTTTTTTTTTTCTGCCCTCAGAACACCTTTGTGTAAGTAAAACTCCCATGAGTGTTGAAGACCTACACTACCTTAAAAAAAGAAATGTCTTCCATTTCTTGAAACTCTTTGGCAACTTTGTAGCAAACACGTTCTCCACCTCGTCATTAGAGTGTAACAAGGTTATGGGGTGGTCCCGTTTTTTCGATAAGCAATGCAGAAACCCCGATAGTGATGTCAATGGACCTTGGTGCTACACGACGGACCCAAACAAAAAGTGGGATTACTGCAGCATTCCAGATTGTGGTAAGATGATCTTCGCAAATTAAAGAAACAACCTATAACCATCTTCAAAAGATGATTCTGAGTTTACTTAAGTGGTTATCAGACAGCCCTAGGAGTGAGGCTGAATCTACATACATGGCATAATTTGTGTATGATTATACCTAGCCTGGTCTATCTATTCTATGGGTATTTAATGTAATGGCACAGTCATGGCCAATATGGAGCCCAAGGGAAGCATCATCACTGATGCCCTCATCCAAGGCAAAGTGAAATCGGCTGGCAGCGGCCGCCTGGGTCACCTAAGGGATTGACCGGCCGCATGTTTGGCTACTTCGTGGTCTACAATGCCTGTAGTGGTCTGCAGCACTTTGCGGTCTTTTTGGTTCAACCCGAAAGCTAGCGAAAAATGCGGACAACCGAAGGTGAAACCAAGAAGGTGCTTCGGCCGAATCGTCGGCGGCTGCAAGTCCACGCCCCACTCCTGGCCCTGGCAAATCAGCCTCCGCACCAGGTAAGAGGCACGACCCTCTGAGCACTAACGCAAAGCGTGCATCGCAAAGGTGGAAGGAGTGCCAGCGCAAAGACACTTCACTAACTCATTTACATACTCAGCGATGCTAAAATGACATTGGCCCGCATCAAACTGTCTTTCACAGTCTTTCACAGTCACACACACGCTGTACTTACAATCATCACCGCTGCTCCTATGTTTCAGCACCGGCCTGCATTTCTGTGGAGGAACCCTCATCAAACCTCAGTGGGTCGTTACGGCTGCTCACTGCCTGGAACGGTAAGACAAGCACTACCGTAACCCGCCAACCATGAACAGAAGGACTGTTCTAAACCACAGCAAACTTCGGGTCGATGAGATAAATGGGGTCATGTCTCAGTAATGTGATACAACTGAGAAATAATGTGAAATGCTTTAGTAAAAACATCCCATACAAACACTTCACTACTATCATGCATCTACAGAGTGTAAATTTACATTGAAAAGGAGCTTCTTCAAATAAGATAAGACATGACTTTATTGTCATTGTATGTCTACAATGAAATTTTGTGGTAGCTCACAGACAGAAAACTGCAGTAGATACTAAGATAAATGTACATTAAAATAAGACAGTAGCATTTCTGACAAACAACAATAAAAAGTATTCCAAGGCAAATAAGTAAAAACAGTATAGTAAGGAGATATCGCACAATGGAAGTGAATTGGATTAGAGTATTGTTGCTACGTTCATACAATGTGGTGTGTTGATCACATACAGTATTGTGCAAGTTACTGAAAATTAGTAGATAAAGTTACTAGCTACTTCATCCAAAAATAATTTACCAATTACTGCATATAAAAGTAATTAGTTACTAGGGAAAGTGACACTTGTGTTAATTCAATTCTCTAATTAATGCATATATATCATATATATCCAGACAGCACACATACTTTGCCAGGATGTTGGTTTAAGAATAGAATGTCATTAAATGATCACATTTCAGTAAGACGTATGAACAGTATTTAAATGATCACATAAGCTAATGTGTGTTCCAGTTTATCACATTTTTTTTCCCTATAATTTCAGTTTAGCAAAACTGTTAGGCGTATTGTTACTGTTTTGTCAAGTCAGTATTTAAATAAACGTATAACTTTTAATCACTTAAAATGTTTGCATCGTATATGGTTTTAAATTGTATGCTACATGTGGGAAAAGCACAACAAATCTACCCTATAGTATATAAATATATACAATATAACCCTATTGTGGGTTATATAGCCTAATCAGGAAGAATAACAGAAGGCTAAACATCGCGTAGTAATCCCAACATTATAATGCTGTTGAAATAGGAATGTCCACTGCAGACATAGTGACAATGCATGTGTGCTGTCAGGGTAGTTTTATTATTGCAGAGTTGCTGCTGTGACAACGCCAGACAATACAACTGTCACATTTTATCTACCACTGTACCTGTAATATCACCCATTCATTGCGCCACTGTAATGTTGGATGATGTTAGATCATAAACAGAATATTATGGGAACAGGCTGCATTTGTCCATTAATATTTTCATGCAAGACACAAGTAACAAGTAACGAGCCCATTTATATTTCACTACTTTAAGTTGCTTTATTTAACTTTAATAGGTAGTTACATTACTCATTACCACCACAAGTGTGTTACTACAAACACTGTTCATATATTACTGTATGTGATATGAATGCATAAAAATGTCGGAGTGCATTAGCAGCTGTGAGGTATGAATGGGAGAAGGTAACAGGAATGGACTTTACAGTCCTCAGTCACAATGGAGGGTGTGGAGATGGAAGCTTCTGCTCTGGGGAAAAGGCTGTTCGCTCAATCTCTCTTCCCTGATGGCAAGGGGACAAACAGACGGTGTCCTGGGTGGGTCAGGTCCTTGCTGATGTTGGGAACCTTCTTGCGCAGGCAGCTAACCTTCACCGTGTCCAAATTCAGAAGTTCAGTTGCTATGATTTCCTGAGCAGTTCTTGCCACGTGGGACAGGGCCATTCCGTTTTCGGAGGTGCAGCTGGGACCACACCGTGGTGTTCTTTATGGTGCTGCCATAAAAGGACATAACGGATGAACACTGATCTCCACAGGCTTACAGTTTCACCAAATCAGCTGTGGGCAGATGCGATAACTAAATAACTTTTAATTACTTTTAAATAGTCACACCAACTGACACTGCAGCCTGAAGAGTGTTTAACCCTGCATGTTAACTCATATTTCACATGACTTTTGACTGCTGCCCAGGTCAAAGAATCCCGGTGCCTACAAAGTGTACCTTGGAATCCACACAGAAAGAGCAACAGAGCCTTCCAAGCAGGTGCTAAACCTGGAGAAGCTGATTTTGGGCCCTGTGGGGACAGACATCGCGCTGCTCAAGTTAGAGAGGTGGGATCTTAAGAATCGTTAGGCAACTGGTAAATTTTAAGAATGGTGGTGGGGCAAGAAGTGTACTGAAAAGTGTACTGAAAAGTGCACTACAAAGTGCACTAAAGTACTTCCTGTATTGCAGGCCAGCTATCATCAATGATCAGGTGCAGACAGTTTGCCTGCCAGAAAAAGACTACATCGTACCAAGTAACACAGAATGTTATGTGACAGGCTGGGGAGAGACGCAAGGTACGTGGACAGTTAATTGGGGCTAAAGTGGCCACACTTCAGACTGCCGCTGTGCCCTGAATGGGTTCCTGCCTCATTACATCCTTTGGTATGAAAAATGGCTGCTGCTGTTTCAGACACGGGAGGAGAGGGCATCCTGAAGGAGACCGGGTTCCCGGTCATCGAAAACAAAGTGTGCAACCGCCCAGCATACCTTGCTGGCAGGGTGAAGGACCACGAGATGTGTGCAGGAAACATCGAGGGGGGTACAGACAGCTGTCAGGTGCGGAAACAGAGACAGCGGCCAGTGACACTTGCTCAGTATAGCCATGGAGCTACAGTTGCATTTACGGCGCCCTCCGCAATTATCGGCCTTCTAAAAAGGGTTAGAAAAAAATCCACCTTTTGGTGAAGCAGCCTCATCTCACAGTGAAAAAATTAGAAAAATCCAACCTTCAATTGAAATAAATTTATTCAAAGGAAAACAAATCCTTCATCAATAAATAATTATTTCCAACAAAAACACGTGCCACGATTATCGGCACCCCTGCTTTTAATACTTTGTACAGCCTCCCTTTGCCAGTATAACAGCACTTGTCTTCTCCTATAACATCTTATAAGACTGGAGAATACAGAGCAGGGCATCTGAGTCCATTCTTCTGTACAGAATCTCTCCAGATCACCCAGGGTCCGAGGCCCTCTCTTCTGCACTCTCCTCTTCAGCTCAGCCCACAGGTTTTCAGTGGGGTTCCGGTCAGGGGACTGAGATGGCCCTGGCAGAAGCTTGATTCTGCGGTCAGCTAACCATTTTTATGTCGATTTGGACATGTGCTTAGGAACACTGTCCTGCTGGAAGATCCAGTGAAGGCCCAGTTTTAGTTTCCTGGCAGATGTATTATGTATAATTTACATGGGAAACATGCTTCAGTTACATTGTGTTCACTATAATTTGCAGGGGTGCCAATAATCGTGGCGCATGTGTTTTTGTTAAAAATAATTATTTCTTGATGAAGGATTTGTTTTTCTTCGAATAAATTAATTTCGATTAAACGTTGGATTTTTCTCAAATTTTCAATGTGATGATGCTTTGCCAAAAGGTGGATTTTTTTCTAACCCTTTTTACAAATTTTTACAAGGGGTGCCAATAATTGTGGAGGGCGCTGTATTCTGATTGCCTGTGGTTTTCCCTTCTACAGGGAGACAGTGGGGGTCCTCTTGTGTGTTACAGCAAGGACTCATTCGTCCTCCAGGGAGTGACTTCCTGGGGATTGGGCTGTGCAAATCCCATGAAGCCTGGGGTTTATACCAGAGTCTCAAAATTTGTTACCTGGATTGAAGATACGATCAAGAGGAACTGAATAATCTCATTGAAAGGAACTGCAGACTGAGCAAAGCAGATTTTATGGTTATTATGTTCTATGGAAAGCTTTGAATTAGTAAAACGGAAGGTGAATCATTGTACCCAGTAGTACGTACTTTTAAGTTGTCAGGATGCCAATTCTGTTTTGTTGTTAATGAATAAATCAAGGAACTCATTGACTGGTATATCACTGACTTGCAAGTTACTTTTTGATAAAAGTCCATCAAATAGTTGCAAATCTAAGAATTTCCTTGCGAGTCTCTGTCGCTACAGCAGTTCTGTACTGGAGGAATACAGAGGTCATAGAACACCTGCTTCAGGGATAATTTTCTGTGCTTGCTATTTTGCTGTTCATTAAGCTGTATATGATTTAGAAATGTCTCTGCACACCTGGCCGACAGTCAACTGTGAGAATCTTATAGCTTTGGCTTTGCATAACCATCATTATTATACAAAAAAAAATGCTAAATGCTCTGCTAAATAGAGATTAGAATATTAAAAACAACGTGCTGTGTAAACCATGAATGTGAAACTGTCAAATAATTTGAATAATTACTTGATCCAGACTAGAGTAAGCTGTGAAAAGACACTTTGCATCAATTGTACCTTCATAAAGCATTTATAATGCCTTCATAGAATATTCACAAGTAGGCTTAATGTACATAAGCATTATATGATTATGCTTGTTGTTATATAATGTTTGTTATTAATGTATATTAAAGCTGAAAGTGCACTGAATGTTCTATGAATGTTTTATAAAGGCATTATGAAGGAGCAATTAGTGTAAAGCAATACCACTTAGTGTCTTCAAAGGACAGTAACAATACTAGCAATTACAGAAGAAATAGAGATGTAGCAGGAAAATATACAATTCATGCTCTTTATGGCATGCTAAGTAGATATAGTGGTGTACAATGTCAATTAATTATTCACAATTTATTATAAAAATAAATTATAAAAATGTGCTGGTGCAATTTCATGGACACATCTGTGGATGTTATTGTCATCTATAAGACAGCAAAGTGACCAAAATGAACCTGATCAATCAAACCACGAAAGGCCCTTTGCTGGCTGCACCTTCTGGGTCTAAGAGGTTCATCGCCTGCGGCTCAGTCAGGACGCTTTTTTTCTGCCTAAAACACAGAAAGGTTTGATCAGAAATCACTGATTCATATCAAAAGGAGAATCCCGCCCCTAAAAGAAAAAGTCATTACGTAGTAAGACTGCTGCATTAAGACTAGTATGTTGAAAAGTGAAAAAATATGGAGTTAAACTTAATAATCTTTATATTTATTGCAGTACAAATAAACATTCAGTGTAGATAAAAATGTGAGCTGTGCGATAACCGAAAGCAGATGCAGTCTACCACAAAATATCACATTCATTTTACATCACAGAAGGCTCATTCAGGAGTTTAAAAGGCAACTTATGACTTATAAATGTGAATCAAAAACAGCCTCCAGAAGCAGATACTTGAAAATCCTAATGGTCTGAAGGGAAAATCCCACCTGTCAGGGAACTCAATGTCATCAATCGTTTGCGGTAGAGGGAGTCCTCTGGTTTCAGGTAACATCAGAACCAGAATCCCAGCAATGAATGAAACCACACCTGTTTGATCACGCAAAACCATAGTCAGTGCTCAAAATGCCCCTACGCAAAGATGGTGTCCCTCAGCATATGAAAAGCCTGGTATCTGACTGTCACCTCCTTTAAAAACCAGGGATGCTACTGACTACAATGGAAAACCAGACAAACTGACCCTTGTTCTCAGTCAGTTCTGGCGCTAGAAAGCGGCGCCCCAATTTCAGAATCAGAATCTTCATTAACACATCACCACTGCTGTTGGTCATTTGGGCCCAGTGAGGACCGGATTGGGAAACACCGACTTAGCCCACCAAAAATAACAAGTGGCAACTCAAGCCAGATGCCAGAAAGCCTGTAGAGCAGGAACGGTGCCACCATTCCCCCGACGTCGGACAGTGCGGAGCACACAGACACGCCCAGGTTCCTGCAGATGGGCGATTAAGGAATGCAGCCCAAAAGACCGGCAGGACAAAGGTCAGCCAGGAGGAGAGCATGCCCGTGAACCATCACACACATTCCAGAGCTGGCGGGCAACAGAAAAAGAGACTTCCAGAATCTTCTAATGACTGAACATGGCATTGCAACAAATGTTCAAATGGAAATCATTTCACATAATTTGGAAAGACATTTTGTTAATTTACCAGCGTTGCATTTACCAGTAATGTCACACATATCTGTGAGAGAATTTCTTAAACTTTTGCAAAAATTGTTCACGCCTTTACCGGATGAAAGTTGGATATAACTCAGTGTTCACAAATGCCACCAATTCGAAGGTCATCGTGATGCCCAGTCGACCCACACACGCCACTGCTGTTTTGAACCAGAACATTCCTTCAAAAAATAAAAAACAAAAAATAAAAGACCATTCCTACTTTGTCTGAAAGATCGTAGGATGGAGCTAGAGCACGCACCTTCTGGTGTGAGAGCGACAATAAAGCAAGCTAGCCCAGATGTGACGTTAGCCGTTACGAAGGGAAGGCGTCGCCCAATGCGGTCGATTGTGAAGAGAATAAGGAGGGCAGCAGGGAATTCAACTACTGCGGAGATCAGGAAATCCACATAAACGTTCCCACCTTGAATACCCAAGCGCATGACAAGTCCTTGGTAGACCACGGCACTGGTGAACCTGCGAAAATGGAAGGGCAAAGCGATGTTAGCATGCGACGAACGCCATTAGGACGTTAACAGCGATGTGACCCGCCTGAAACCGATTACCAGTTGAACATAAGAATGAAGGTATGCTTTCGCATTTTTGGAGTTCTGATCAAATCAACGAAGGATGCTGTTGCCGCCTCTACGTTCTCATCTTTCAGAGTCTGTGAAACATTAAACCCTGGGTTAGTACTGCTGCTAAGGATGTATCGTTTCAAAGGTAATAAATCAAGAGATGTTAACATAAATCAAGAGACGTTTTATCATCGTGTTGCAGCACTGAAATTATTACAAATTATAGTATGCCTCATAAAGCAAAAATGACGAACGGCAGTTCAAATCGCACATTTAAGGCTACATTGACATTTTTACTGTCAAGTCTTAGCGAAAAGATTCCTTTTGACATACATGCAACCCGAGGGCAATCTACCTCTATATTGTTGGAAAGGATTCTCCTGTTCTCTTTCGCTATCTTCTTAGTAATTTTAACAGCCTGTCTTGAGTTCTTTTGAGAAAGAAGCCATCTTGGTGATTCAGGAATAAACCTGCCGGGATTAGGTTTCGTTTAACAGTAATAGTAGCAACAAAATTTAATAATCATATCAGCAACACATGCTTGAGTCCTCAGAACTCCGTTCTGATGTTTACAGTGTCATTCTCCGTAACGCCATAATATTCATGGTTTTTCAGTGAACGCTTTACCAGTAATAGGCCAAGAAGATGAGGTATGGTGCAGAAAAGGCCACTTGCAGCCAGCGCCAGTCGGTGATTAGGTAGGCAATCAGGGGCAGAATCAGAAGTCCGATGCTGAAGAACATCTGGTATATGATACCCACTGTTCTCCTGTACTCCACACCCACCAGCTCAGTGACTGTCGGTGAGTGGAGTGGGAGTCGAGATGGAGGCAGAGACAAGTTACTGAGATACCCTTGATGTGTCTAAATGGCCTTGATGAGGCAAAACCAGATAACAATTGAGCCCATGCTTAAATTTAAGAGAGTGCATATAAAATTCAAAGCCATTCAATGCTGGTAAACTGACTGTGTTACAAAGAGGGGATAGGAACCATAAGTTCTCATTAAATGAAGACCTTGGACACCACACAACATCAACAACAGACAATAAAAGAGGAACAATGCAGGATGTAGCAATATCTCAGTAGTTAGAAAGCTCCCAATCTAAGTCCCTGTGATAGAGAGAAGTCCATAGCGGCATAGCGGTGATTATCCTTACTCAGAACATAGCCGGCAACCCAGCCACCCTTGACGCCTAATCCATGCAAGAATCGGAAGACAAGCAGTGATACGTAATTTGGGGAAATTGCCATAAGAATCCCTATGACCCCATTGAAAATATTGGACATCAGAAAGCTCATTTTCCGCCCGAATCTAGAAATAAACAAGACAAGATGTTAGACAAAAAAACAAAAAAACAAAAACAAATTTAAATGTACTAGTTAAGACTTTGCTCAATGTGACATCTGATCGACATCTGAAAAATTATACCACACTATGGCTGAAATGATGTATGAAAATGATGATGCATCTACAATTGCAGCAGCATCGAGACCTTAAAGACGGGCGTAAACTTTATGCATGGAACCTTAAAGACGGGCGTAAACTTTATGGACAGAACCTTAAAGACGGGCGTAAACTTTATGCATGGAACCTTAAAGACGGGTGTAAACTTTATGGACAGAACCTTAAAGACGGGTGTAAACTTTATGCATGGAACCTTAAAGATGGGCGTAAACTTTATGCACGGCACATTCTCAGTCCACAGTTGCACCTGTCAGCCAAATATCCAACGACGATGCTGCCAAACAGGAAACCAGCATTGACTGCAGCCTGGAACATGTCTACCAACCAGTCATTAGCACAAACCAGGTCAAACTGAAACATAAAATGCACGCAATGGGCACAAACATCATGAGCCGGCAAAAATTCACGACCAGATTCCTCTAGTTGTAATTTAGAAGGCTAAAAAAAGACACAGAAGCATTGAATGAATGACTCGATTTTTGGAATGTTGAGCTGTGGGGACAGCCAACTACACGGGCAATTAGAGTATTAAAATGGATAAATGGTGACAGTATAATTTGATCCAGCCTGTCAGGTATGGACCTGAATTTCAGGAACTTCCTAATACTCTTTGTACTTCTCAGAACACAACACATGCATAGAACTACAACCATCAGAGCCAAGAACTTCACCTCAGTTACAAAGGATTTCCTTCCTCCGTAGTCGTACTCCCAGCCATATTTGCAGTTTGCGATGGGGAAGCCATCGCTGATGTTACTGAATCCGTCTTCCGTGTCGTCGCAGATAAAGGCGGTATTGTTCCAATCCTTGTCGTACATCTCGCACTGGCTGTGACCAGCGCCAGCGGAGACGTTGACCCGGGGCACGCTAAACTGGCGAGCTTCCAGCGGAGTCCAGCCGCAGCGCTCGCTAATCTGGCTCATGCCTGGGTCATGGCACCAGTGCTCTGGCGTGAAGCCCTGGAACACGATGCCCACATAGACCCCAGCGAAGGGCATGGATACCAGGCACAGCAGACAAAATATGCGCTTCTGGCTTCTGCCGAACTTGCCAGCCTCCTCCAGGATGTCATCAAAGGTAGTCATGACTGCGGCGCGGGTACCGGGTTCTGTGACTCCGTGGCGCCTGACGACGGTTTTGCTTGGGGAAAAAAACTAGACCTGCAGGTGGACCTTTGCCCCATTGGTGTTGTGCTAGATGCACCACAGCATTCACAAATGTGACCGGTTACTTTTTAAAAAGGGACACGCTTCAGATGTCGTAAATAGATGTAACCTTGACCTGCAAGCTACTCAGTGCAAGATTTTGTCAGAGGACACTTTGCCCACATGAAGAGCTGCCAAAAACCCATTGGAACCAGTGTATCATCACAAAAGCAGACTCCAGTAACAGCTGTGTGCATTGATATTTCCATATAGGTTTGCTAATAGAACGCTACTCTGTGTGGGTGAGATTGGAGAACCCTTATGCAAGTCGAGGGTGGGCTACTAAGCATGTCAAACACAGCAAGCCAGAAAAGCTGATCTCTTAATTTATTGAAATAATGCAATACCATATTCGAACATCAACATTTTAAATAGGAAAACAGATCCAAAAAGCAATAAAACATACCAGTTTGGGAAAGAGGAGACAGGACTTCCCAGAACTCCAAATTGAAAGAACGAACAATTAAATTTACACCCAAAAGTGAGGTTTTGAAGCTTATTCTCACAAAATCAGTACCAATCGCGACACATTGAATCAACCCAGACTGCCACATACAACACAGGCTAAACCAGAGCTAGAACCAGCAGGAATCAGCAGAACCAGAACCAAGAGAACCATCTTGCTCATTCCCGTCCAACACACAACGCACACTTAGGACGTCGTGTATGAAAGTGCTTTTTAGACGATTTTCCTTCACAGAACGATTGGTGTGCTGCACCTATTGATGCCATAATCTATGCCTCCCTTCTAATGGAGACCGAATTTGAAAGAACATTCTAGAAAAGAAAAGAAAAAAAAAATCAAAAATCTCTCAAGGATGCTCCAAAGAAACAGAGTTTACACGTTTGATCCCAGCCCACATTCTGGTGCAAAGCTTTGGGAAAAATCACCAAGTGAATTTTCTATGAACCGTCTGTACCTACATGTACTAGTGTTCATAAAGGCATGTGTTGTAATACTCATGAAATAAGCAAAATACAGACCAGAATAGTGTCCCTTAGGAACCAAAGTAAGAGTCAACAAACAAGCACAGTAAATACTTCCCATCGCCTGCACTGTCAGAGCTCAGGAGCAATTCTTCTTGTGGAACGTCATGCAAACTCATGGTTTTGTACAAAAAAAAAATAATGCAAAATTAACGACACAGCCACAGTAGATGGGCAAATCTACCAGAACAGTAACCCTGAATGGTAACCCAGTACCAGTGATTGAAACAAACTTCTGACCATGAGGATTATTATCATACTGAGCAAATGTTCCTAATGGCACCAGGTACCTCAGTTCTGATCTCTACGTCATGCAGAACCACAGGCAGTTTTTTGGCAAAAGAACAGTTACAAGTGTTATGAGGGAAAAGCTACTCTTATTTAAGACAGACTGTCTTGAAACGGGAAGCACAATGTAGAGAGCTGAATGCTTTGGCGGTGATGTTCGTCACACTTATAAAAACGAAACAAAACAACAATACATGTCGAGGCAATACAACTCGGCAAGAAACTCCTCAAAGTGATCCAACGATTCCACATTCCAAGTGTCTTATCAGATAATTACTGATTTAAATGCATTTCATTTGTTTTTAGGCATATTAATATTTATCGGGGTTTGTAGTATACATTATGGAATTACAGTGCGCGTCCTGTCTTGTTTTTTGCTGTTTTTAACTGGAGTGCAGAACAGCTCAGAAAACAATTAAAAAATAAAGCTGGTTCGTGTACGTTTAGTTGATTTTAAAGAACAAAATGGCAAAGAGTCACCTTTTGGGGGGNCCAGCCTGTCAGAATGCATTCATCTCTGGAAATGTTGGCTTTATATATATATATATATATATATATATATATATATATATATATATATATATATATCTGTCTGTCTGTCTGTCTGTCGTTAACAATGTCACAATTGAATATTATTCCCTTTTTTTTTTTTTAATAAAAAAAAAAAAGAAAAAAAACCCCAAGGTGGGTATTGAGAGTGCGGAGCGGAGCAGGGTATATCATGCCCCCCGGGAGCTGAGAGCTTCAAACGTTGAGGAGGTCCTCGTCGCTGTCGTCGTGGAAGGAGGTGGGATTGGGCCCCCGCTTCCGGCGGGGCTTCTCCCGCCGTTTGCCCCGCCCGACCCGCTCGTCCTCCTCCAGGAGTCCCACCAGGTCCTCGTCGCTCTCGGGCCCCCGCAGCAATGGGGCCCGGCGGGTACGCTGCTGTCGGGCTGCGGGCTTGCTGGCGTGGACGCGCACCTCAGGCACTGTCAGCACCTCGTCCTCGCTGTCCTGCTCGTCCAGTGACAGCGAGCGCAGTGCGTCGGCGTGCACCGCCCGCGTGGTCACGTGACCGTTCTCCTGCACCTCCTTTCCCCGCCGTGAGGATAACTCTGCGGGCTCCATCTCCTCCATCAGCCACTCTGTCTCGTCGTCCCCGCCCAGCTCTTCTGTATTTACCTTCAGATTAAGATGAACTTTATTGATCCCAGTGGGAAAAAAGATACATACAGCTCCAAAACAGACAAGGTGCAAAGACAGCAGACACCACACAAACATGCAGCACCCGTGCATATGGTTTCCATGGGTACGCTTATACGCATACCCTCCGTTCAGCTGTTACTTGGGACGTCCGGGACCAGTACAGACATACAGGGGCAGCACACGGAGCTCAACCCACCTTCGAGTACTTATAGGACAAGTCGCTTCCCCTTTTGCAGCATCCAGTCACTTTCTGCAGCACCAGCTCCCTGGAATAGCAGCAGAAAGACGCCTTGGCTGAGCAAGGAGAGTCTAGTACGCAACCGGAAGGAGAAATATCTATATGCAAATGCACATTTACACATACGTCCATGGATACTCATTTACTGAAGATGTGGGATCGCACTTCTTCATTTAAGACATTTATATGACTGCTTCCTCTATCTAACACACATTTAGCATGTCTAACAATGTTTCCCAATATCCAACATACATACTTAAATATTCAAGCCAAAAAGGACCGGGTCTAAGGGCGACCGATACCAAGCCCGAGCATGTTTGACCCCCGAAGTCCAGTTTGTTTGGCTAGTGTGATCGCTCCGTAATTAAGATGACAGCACTACTGCATCAGCTGGAAGGGGACTGCAGTTTCAGTCGTATTCTGATTCAGACACAGTGACGGCATCGTTACCTCCTCTCTCGCTTGTGCAGAAGCAGGATCAGCAGGCAAACCGTGAGAACCACGAGGAGGAGGCTGAGGACAGCCCCCAGGGCCTGGCTGCGCCTGGACAGGCCAACGTGCTCCTTCCCTTCCTCAGAAGGCTGGCTGTTATCTACCTCACTGGAAAGACAAGATCTGCGCATCACTGGATGAAGGCCAGACAAGGCACAGGGTTCGACAGCAGCACGGCCATATCACATGAAGCGTGCTGTATGGAAACACGCATGCAAAGACCCAGTGCGTGAACAGCACTGATCGAATTTTTCCAGCAGGAATGTCACCAGTGGCTTGTTTGGTAGACAGTGACAAGGCAGAGTCTGCTTTTAGACTGTTAGAGGGCGGCATGTAATCACTTCCGTAAATTTGTAATGTGTTTGTCTGTTACAGATGGATGAAACTGTCAAAATGCATAACCTTCAAACCCTGATCAGGCCTTCAGCTACATAAGTGCTCACAAAACAATGATTGATAAAAAAAAAAAAACAAAAAAAACACGTGAATCATCCACTGTCATTGGGGATTACTAGGGCAGTGCCAATGCTCAGAGCTCCCATTAAAGCTGTAAATCCCTACGTACAATGACTAACGCCCTGAAGCACTGGGACACATTTTTTTGATTTTGATTCTGTAGCTGCATAAGGAAGGATGAGTGCAGCTTATTCAGGAAGACGAAGTGCAGCAGGATGGTTTCCGACTCACAAGAGTGCGCAGACGGCTGCCGTGTGCCAGATGAAAAGGTACTGACAGCCGTCGGCCTCCAGGAGGAATTCTGGGATTCCCTCCCCAGCCGAGGGGCTGCAGTGGAAGAGGATGGTAGAGGAGACCGTCTTGTTCGTATCGCGTCCGCATTGGGATTCTGATGTGACAAGGACGTCCAAGTTTCCATCTGGAAGGACAAAGAAAATCATAAAGCAAAAGCCTACAAACTCAGACTTTTGCAATACTGTGCAGCCATGTGTCGACTTGCCGAAGGCGTTTGAAAATCTATGGGGCGGTGAGAATGCCAGTCTTGGGTCCCGTGCCCATTGATGCCATTTATGGTCAAGAAAAGCTAAGCTCTGATGATACACCGCAAAGTAAAACTGCTCTGTACGAAGGATAATTCCAGTGGCATGAGTTTGTTAAACTGCGTCGCATGGGGGAGGGGCTCTATGGCTCAGTAAGCAGCACTGCTGCCTGACAGATTGAGGTTCGAATGTCACCGCCACTGTCTGTGGGGTTTGCATAATCTCCTGCTGTTGCAAAGGCAACTCTGGTTTTCTCCCCAGCCTAAAAACATCCATCCATGCAAGTTTACCTTTGATGAAGTATTTGACGTTGCGGGACGAGCCGATCTTCCGCCAGTACTGCGCGTTCTTCTTCACCTGGCAGATGTTGGCTCCGGTACACTGGTTGAATGACCCATTGGTGATGCCCGACAGCTGGATGTCATAGGTGTAGGTGTCCCCGTTGGACCGGATGTCCCCGGATGCCTGGTGCAGCCTGAAGGTGAGGGGACAGTGAAGCACGGCATCAAACTATCCTTGTCTGGTAATCACCAAGTACATATAATATTTCAACCCAGTCTATGTCTAGTCTGATCCGGAGCCACTGCATATGAGCCAAATACACAGGAAGTTTATGCTTAAAAAACAAACAAATACACTTCCTTCATCACTTGAGCTCTTAAAACAGGACAATTCGGTTTATTTAAGATGACTTAAGATTTACTCTAAGGGGCCAGGAAATACTAGCCTTTTTAAAATATTGAGATCATATGAAAAGAGGATCCAACCAAAAAAGGGATGTCAAATAATGGGGCAAAATCAATCAATAAATGTCAAAGTTGTGAATTTTAACTTTAAGCTCACTGATGATGTACGTTCTAGTAACAACCACACAACTTTAACAATAAGTGACCAAGTCAAACCAATGAGAGAGGTGCTGAAGTCAATAGAGGAACTTCAGCTAAACCAAAAAGCTGATGGAATTCATTAAAATTAATAATTAACAAAGAAACTGTTGAACCACTTTTGATCAGATGATTTTTGTACCTGCACTCTCAGCTCCTGCGTCATGGACTCAAGATATAGAACAAAAGTAGTTTACTCTACACTCTTGTAAGGGTGACAAAGGATTCTCAAAGGCTGGACGGCAGTCCGGATACAGACCAAACCGCAAGTTAATCCGGACCGAGCTGATAATGCACCTTATGAATCAATACGGTTAACGGAAAAGGGTTTAACGTGGCTTGAAGTACAAAACATATCAGTTCCCATTATTGATAATTCATTAAAGTTTATGAAATGCCATTTTGTTATTGAGAATTGTTCCAGTCCTGTGACTTTGAGCAAAAATCTGACGTAGACCTTTGATGACTCAACATGGGGTGACATCCTGCTGGAAATGAAGTATACATACAAGGCCAGAGACGTCAACGAAACAGACAAGCAACCTGTTAGCAGAGATACTGTGTCATAGAGTTACTGTGCATCATACCGCTGCTGAAAACCACTAATCCCGCTCTTATGCCAGATACACACGCTACAGGTCATGGAGGACGTCGCCTCACCTGTAGTACAGGGCGCCGAGGCTGAAGGTCACCCCTGTGTCGGGGACCTTGATGGTCCCGTTGACCATCTCCACCTCGCGCTCGGTGGCTGCACACGCCGCCCGCGTCTCCCAGACCACCCAGAACTCGCACGCCTCTTCATCCACCCTGCTCACATTAGAAAGGCACACAAATGACAAGACAGGCACGGAAAGAAGAAAAGAATCACTGATAATCCTCACGCGTAAGTATTCATCAACCCTAAAAGAACCACTGGCTGATGTCTTTGCAGAAACATCAAACACTTAAATATCAAACTTAAACAATACCACTTAGCTAAAGTAATGATTTATCTTTACATATAATTAATAATAGCGGAACATCTTTTGCCAATTTTGAGCACATTAGTACATCATATTCATGTGGAATTCTCCGAAGATCAGACACATAAAATCACTCTGCGACTTTCTATCCCTAGAAATAAAAAAATCAAAGCAAAAAAATAAATAAATAAAGATTTCTGCCTTGAAAACTAGCTATGACTAAAACGGAAAACATAAAAAACTAAAATAAAAAAATCAGAAGTAAAACACTGGTGCAGGCTTGAGATCACTACCCCCGCCCCCCCCCCCCCCCAGGACGGGCCCCCACCCACCGGAGCAGCCTGGGGTTCCCGACGGTGCTGCCGCAGCTGAGCTGGATGGTGGTCTTGGCGGGCTGTCTGTTTCTGCAGACGGAGGCATTGTTGGTGTAGTTGACCTGGATCTTGCCATCTGCAAGGGGGTGGGAGGGGCATGGGTGAGGAGCACGTTCCTCTGGGGCAGACGGGGCGAGGAAACGGCCCGAGCCTTACCCACGAAGGCCATGGTCTGGGTGTGGACACGGCCCAGCACCTGGGTCTGGCCGCCTCGATTTCGCCGGCACACCGCTGCCCCCGCTGGACAGTCTGTCAGGCCGGCGTGGATCCCCTGGCACAGGTTCAGGTAGTACCTACGGGCAGTGGGGGCACCGACGGGTTAAGCTTAAGAAACCAGCTCCACCCTGGCATTAAACCAAATGCCCTCATTGTCCATTATTCTTTATTGCTTATTTGGAGACAAATAATTCTATTGTTATTTTAGTCTCATTTATTCACATCTTTTTATGCTGTTTGTTTTTCTTTGTATTACTTTCTTTTCACGTATTTCCCTTCAAGCACAATCCTGGAAGCAGGCGGGAAAAAGTCTTTTCACTACTCAGTGTGTGTGTATATGAGACAGATAAAACTTGAAATTTGAAAACAAATTAGAGAAGCTTTTCAATAACCAGGAGAAGATCATGCAGCCAAATCTGCACTGATGGATATGGAATAGATACTGCAAACATACTGCTTACATTTAATAAGTCAGAATGCTTTATTGTATTTCACTCCTGAAAAACTTTGTTTTTCGGGGTTTTATTTGGAGCAAAAATGTAGACTGTCTGGCAGGGAGCAAAAACATGGACTGACTGAGTCCCCGAGGACCAGTTTGAGAAGCACTGGTCTGCAGAGACGAAGGAGAGGCAGCCGGACTCACGCGTCACCATTCTGGCTGAACTTCCACGGTCCGGTGAGCGAGGAGAGGGTGCGCAGGTCGTACGTGCGGTGATCGTGCACCAGCTTGCACTCCATCTTCCTGGGGGGGCACACGGCGTCGGTGGCCCACTGGAAGGTGGCGTAGCAGCCAAGGGTCTCGCTCAGCAGCTCGGGGGTCCCGCGTCCCGCTGAACGGTCGCACGTGAGCAGGATGGACGAGTTCCGCGTCTCGTGCACTGTGAGAAGAGGCACGTGGAAATGAAAATTAAATGAGTTTGCCATTTAACTGTCCCCACAATATAATAATTACAAAAACGTGCACACATACACGCACACAAACAGTCAAACACGATGCAGAAATTAAGATGACAGCTATACAAGTGAGCAGCTAACAGTGACCATTATTAAAAGCACTGAAAATGGTTATTAGTCTATGGTTACAGATGTATGCTAAGCCGGTTACTGGGGATGCCGACTGCTAAAGCACTTTTCCCTTCACAAACGTACCGCTGGCACAGAATCCCCACTGCTTGTCCTTGTCGTAGTTGCTAGTGGTGGCACACCATGTCCTGCCGTCGGTCCTGCCTTCCGTGGTGCACTGGTTGTATTGTTTCTTCATGAAGGTGAAGGGGAACATGCACATGGTCCCTGTGGTGGTCACTGGAAATGGCACACAGTTACAGTCAATGAGCACAGTTAGAACTTCCTCAAATCAGCAACTATGAATAGGGAGCACAGTTAGAACTTCCTCAAATCAGCAACTATGAATAGGGAGCACAGTTAGAACTTCCTCAAATCAGCAACTATGAATAGGGAAGCGCAGTTAGAACTTCCTCAATCAGCAACCATGAAACACCTAACCGTTTCAAGCTCATGAGTAGAAAATGAACAAAGAATACTCAAAAAAATGTCAGAATATGGATAAAAAACGACTGATTACTGGACTGCAGAGAGGAATAATACAGAGATCAGCATAAACTACACAGGGGTAGGCAGCCCTGATCCTGAAGTGCCCGTATCCAGGTTTTCCCATCTCACTCGATGAGTTACTATCTGCCTGAGATCAAGATGTGAGGTTCCGTCAGGTGGGATGGAAAACCTGCTGGATTCCAGCACCCCAGGATCAGGGTTGGCTAACCCCTAAACTACACCGTTAGAAAATGAATGAAATCAACACACAGTCTTTGAAGAACTGAAACATACAGAGACTTTATGAACGGATCATTTGGCCAAGAGAGTAATCTGTGCTGAGCACTTCACTGCCACCAGCACTGTTGTTATCTTATTGCCATGGTTACCAATACTCATGATTTATCACTGATTTGTATGTATTATCTTATACCATATACAGTGCCAGTTGAAAATGAGGACACGCAAAGCCACCTACAAAGAGCGATAACGGCACATGACCTGGCCACCACGGAAAACACTACCAGTGACCAGAGAGTGAAGGAAAAGCAGCCAATGAGTGCTCAGTATATATGTGGGAGCTCCTTCAGGACAGCTGGAATAGCATCCCAGGAGGCCGCCTCATGGAACTGGCATAGAGGGGACAGTAGGGTCAGTCAGTCCCTGGAGCAACTGGGGTTAAGGGCCTCACTCAAGGGCCCAATGGTGGGATCACTCTGCCAACCACGGGATTTGAACCAGCAACCTTCTGAGTCCTAAGCCACAGATCCACCCAAGAAATTAATATTTTTTTTTGTCTGTGCATAATTAATCTAAAATGCAGAGAATAGTACAAATAAACCTATGGGTAGGTGTATCCAAACTATTGACTGGTTCTGTACGTGCTCTGCTGCTTCCATCATTGCCCATTCTGAACATTGCATCATTGTTTACTTTTACATTGTGCGTCGGTGTTAATGCTTTTTTCCCCCCACTGTGCACAACCTGCCTACATGTGCACTTTATGTACAGACGTTGCACTGTGGTCCTGGGAACAATTTTCACGTCAATGTACTGAATCGGGTCAGAGTGACCACAATAAAGCCGTACTTGACTAAATACTTCTGTGAGATTCTTATTTCCTCAGAAAGCGGAGCACGCCTGAGTTGTTGTGTGCGGTGGGCGTCTGACCTGGAGGACAGGCGTCTCCGCCACCATACTGCACCAAGATGGCTTCGTCCTCGTGCCTGTAGTCCATCTTCATGGCCTTGCGGTAGCCGAAGGAAAAGGCAGACCCTCCTGACAGCAGACAGATGGCGCTGCCTTTGCACTCGCTGTCCGGCACCGTCCCGCACACGCTGACGGAGTAGAACCCCGAGCCGGAGGACACCTGGCGAGCACGTGTGGCGGAGGGTGAGGAGGAAGGAGGCTCAGGATGAGGAAGGGCACGCGGGAGTCAAAGGGAGCGGAAAACCAGGAAGTGGAGGCAGGGAAAAAGGCGAGGCGCCATACCTTCTGAACGGCCCCGGAGAGTGACGAGAGGTCAAAGGTGAACTGCAGCCGCTGGTCTTTGAGGGTGCATCCCTCCACGCTGACGGTATCGGGACACACCAGCGGGGTGGCCCACTCGAACACGTACTGGCACTCCATTCGGCTGATCATCTGCGGTGTCCCCTGCAGTGACACCAACCCTGCTTACGATTCATACGGGTGACCACAGGCAGAGCAGCAATGGCGTCCGGGATTGTGAGACAATAGAGCCTTCGTGCCAAAGTTCCACGAGGCTACAGGGCAACTCCAGCGTTACGGATCAGACATTTGGATTCAACCTGGCTAACAAAAAAGTGGACAAGCTTAGTATTAATGATGCAATCTGCATATAGTTCCATGTAACCTCTTGGGCTGAATACAGCCTCAAAATTCATATACTGATGCAGATGTTAGAAATATGGAGAATTTTATCAGATAAGACACCAAAGGGACCTTTACCTTGCGAGTGCCCTGTATCTGATGCTAGTGGTATATATCAAAAGGAGGAACAGCAGTACCCAAAGGGCAACATCCTTACTTACTAGGGGTGTCACGAGATCTCACGATATTACGACATGACGAGATTTCAGGTCTGAGTGAAAAGCGGTCTGGTGAAGGCGCTGCATGATCAGCTACTATAAGCATATCGGCGTCTGATGAAATTACCGTAGCAGATGCCCCAGACACTTAAATCTTTTGTGTGGCAGCATTTTGGGTATCCGCCGGAAAATATAAACGGCGAAAAGGTGACAGACAAAACACAAACCATCGGTAAGCACTGTGGGAAAATAATGCCGTACACAGCGGCTAACGCTACTACTATGCAAAGCCATTTCCAGCACCATCATAGCTCTTTACTTAAATCCACTGCACCGGTGAAGAAAACATTTTAAAAGTGTTATGTTTATTTATATTGTTTTATTTATATTCTATTTTATGTTCAACTGAGAAGTCAAATAGGAGAGAACCCAGTCATTTGAGTTTGTGGTGAAATATTTTATGGTGCTAGATATTTGTTCTGTTCTTTACTGTGTATGATGATGGTGATTATTTAAAACATTTCACCATACATCTGCATTATTTAGCATTTTTTTCCTTTCAAATTAATCAAATAAAATGCTGCTTTCCAGTAATATATTTCCTCTGAACTTTTCCTTAAAATATTGTTAAAATATCATCTCGTCTCATCCTGGTGAACCCAATATCGTGTCTCGTCTCGTGGGCTGAGTATATCGTTACACCCCTATTACTTTCTAAATCTACTATCCCAACTTCTGTCATTGTTGGTTTGAATCACTCCCGGCTGACAACAAATATGACCATTTTTAGAATATTTAGAATAGGATAATGATACTTTATTCAACACCCCATGTGGAAATGATCTTTTCACAGATCCCACCTTCCAGAACTTCCAGCAACTGGGGCTTAAGAGCCAGCCTGCTGACCGAGGGATTCGAACCGTCGACCTTCCGATCATGGGCACACACTCCTGTTGAGCCACACGCTGCCCCCAATACTCGATAAACTCAGAGTTCAGGACGTCCCCGCAGAGTGACACAGTCGAGGACGTTGCCGACGGCACACCAAAGCAGCCCACACGGCTGTGAGAACCTGATGGCGACCTACCAGTTCCGTGCCTTGCTGGCACATGAACTTGATGATGGAGCTGTAATTGGCATCGGAGTTGGAGGAGCAGGGGGTGGAGCTGTTGAAGGAGATGGACACCTCGTTGTTGCTCAGGACTGGTGGGCCTGTGATGCGGCCGATGTCCTGTGCAGGGGACAGAAGGGACACCGTGAATGAGACGCCAGTGTATCTCAGGGTACATGCATCCAAAAGAGTTAAATCTCACACAGAGATAAAAAAAAAAACACATAAGGGTCGTACAGTTAGGGCCATATAGGCCTTAAATACACTGAATCTTAACATGCCGTCTAGTCACACAGTCAGAGGTGAACAGGTAAGGAGGCTGAGGGCCGTTGGTCACTCACCACGGGGGGGCCGTTATCAGGGTCCATGCAAATGGCAGCCCCAGGCGGACAGTTCACTCCGGGGATGGGGTTCAGCGACTCGCAGATGTTGATGTAGAAGTCGGGGGAGTGATCCTTACCCAGGGCCACATCAATGGCCCGATGGAAGCCTGTCCTATGGATCAGAGGGCTCAGGTCGATGACGGACGTCCCGTTCCTTACAGAGCACCTGACCTATAGGTAGAGCACAGCAACTGGTTACAGGAATATTCTCCTCCAATGAAATTACATGGAATGCTGGTAAATAGAACAGCATTAGATATAGCTGTCATTTACATAGGTGGCGAAAAGCATTCTCACCTTCTGCTCGCAGACCAGAGAGGTGTGCCAGGAGAAGAAGTGGACACATGTGCCGGGGTCGAAGTCCACCAGCACCGGGCCCCTGTCCCCCACCCCCGGCGTGGAGGACTTGCAGATAAAGCTGATGACGCTCTTGTGCTGGAGGGTGCCGTTGGCCTCGCACGGAGCCCCATTCTCGTAAGTCAGCTGCACCACCTGGTCCTGGTAGGACAGGGTGCGGTTCACCATGCCGACGCTCCGGGCTGCCTGGTTGTCCCTCATGCAGACGGCTGGACGAGCAGGACACCATCAGTGGACGACACGCTCAGTCAGCCCTCTCACGGAGCACATGCCCTTCTCATCACCTGACACTCTCCTCAAATTAACAGCCAAAACATTATAGCATCTTACCTTGGCGGTTTAAGATTCATAGACTGGTAACAATTTTTCTTTAATCTCTGTTTATTCATTTCTTTAATAAATATACAAGGCTAAGGCACAAGTTGCAAAAAGGTCTGAAAATTTCAGTGGCCATATGAATCATCTGGGTACTGGGTTACATTAAGAAATCCTGCTCCTTTCTGGGCTTGTTAAAGATTTGTCACCTAGAACAAATGACAGACCACTTTCATTGAATGATGGCTCTTGCACAGGCTGCATGTGGGGTGGCGTTGAATATGCATAGGAGAAACATTTATACACGTCTCCTGCAATACTAACATAGTGAGAGGCTTGGCTAGGCATTCAAACCACAGTTTACTGCAGTTCTTGAACATGTCATTTAGCAGGGAATGACGTTTAAACCATAACGAGCACCTGATGTCTGTAAAGCCTAAAAAAAAAAATAAATAAATAAAAATAAAAGCTGCGAACGGTTCCTCACCAGTGCCGTTTTCACACCAGGACCCTTCCAGCTCGCCACACACGTTCAGGTGGTAGATCTTCCTCTGGTCCACGTTGTCGTAGACCCGGTATCCACCTCTCTGGTTTAAGCTGCTCAGGTTGAAGAGGTATCCTGCATTGAGGATCGAGGGATGTAGGATAGCCAGTGAGGAGCAGACTCCATGGGTGAAAGAATCCCAGCATGCGACACCAGGAACTAACTTACCCGTAAGTGGGTTGGTGACCACACAGTCCCCATGGCTACTGCTCTTTAGTGGGCAGGCAGCAGCACTCGGCCACACAATGGTATAGGTGCACTCCTCGATGGCCTTCACCAGCATGGGCATGGATTCCTGAGGCACGACCACAAAGTGAGCCACTGAAGAATAGCTCTCAAAAACCAAAGAGCTCGCTCATGGCGACTTGGAGAACAAGCACGGTCACTAACCACTTTGTCCGGGTTACACCGGAAGTTGATGAAGGTGGTTCGGTTCCTCTGTCTGTCCGGACACGGCGATCCACTGGTGTAGTGCAGCACCAGAGCATTGTCCTCCCAGTAGGGACCAGACTCAGCCTCACCGAGGCTCATGTAGTCCTTCCCGCTTTTCATGCAGGACGCCGCCGTGGACGGGCAACCCCAGTCACCTGCAGAACGTCGGCAGACCAACTGTGATGCAGGGAGAACCCGCACGTGTGAGGCATGTGAGCAGGACTGCCCGGGGAGAACCCGCACGTGTGAGCAGGACTGCCCGGGGAGAACCCGCACGTGTGAGCAGAACTGCCCGGGGAGAACCCGCACGTGTGAGCAAGGACTGCCCGGGGAGAACCCGCACGTGTAAGCAGGACTGCCCGGGGAGAACCCGCACGTGTAAGCAGAACTTCCAAAGAAGCGTGAAGCACCATTCTCTTTTTCCCACACAATTTTTTTTATTAACTTTTGCAAAAAGGGACAATCTATACACAACGTGTAAGTGCAGGCATTCTGAATATCCCATCCCTGAATATGTCCAAAAAAATAAATAAATTATAGGGACTAACCAAAATGGAATGAATGAAAACTTTGACAAGAAATAATTAGAAACATGATGAGAGATGACGACGGATGGACAGTTTTACATAGTCTAATGCATTTAACACTGTAACTGGACTGAAACATGCTGCTAAAATATCGTTCGTTCCTAAAGTCAGGAGAAGTCAATAAATGTTATCGTCCATGGGAGTGACATTTTACCTCATTTTAACCTTAAGCCTCAGGGAATTTGCCTGCATGAGCTGTGTTGAGAGCAGTGCGGTACTTGTTTCAAAAGCGGTATTATCCAGAATCCACTCACAAGCACTGCAAGATGTAACAAGAATTTGCTTTTTGGCATGAGGCCAGCTTTCTAACACCGATTATATCTGATTCAAAGTACGCGGGATCCTCCTCAGCTCTGCTAGTTTGATCTATGATTAGCAAGAAAGAGACAAAGAACTCTGAAATGTCAGTGAATACCAGCTACAAGGGTTACAAAGGATTATGATCTTTCTGGGACCCATGACATTTCAACTAGAATCTGTTTAGCCCACTTAGACTCATTTCTCCTACGCGTTCACAGAGTCAGACGCCGTTTGAAGGAGAACCTTGCGGGATCACAGAGAACAGGACTCACCACTCTGCGGGACCAGGGACTTGCACACGTTGACGTAGTATTGCTGCTGGTCTTCTTCCGTTCCTGTCTCTACCACCCAGTTGTCGCGGGACATGGAGAGAGCTGACAGATCGTACGAGTTGCCTTTGCCATCGCTGTTGGGGAAAAAGCAAAAACTCAAGGGATGTAGGACGTCACCAGTGCAAGTATTCTTCATAGAGCCGACTTACTCTATGAGTAAGTATGACTTACTTGTAGGTACAGCTGGTGGTCTTGAAAGGCAGACAGGCTAGAGCGGTATGCCACTGAAAGAGGTATACGCAGTCATCGGTCTCCTTGATAAACTCCGGGCTCCCCTGGTTATGAAGAAACACAAAACCACCGAAATTCAGAAGGGTGCCTCTCCATGGAATCCTTCCCAGTCAACGTTCAACAGCTCAACACAGAATCGCTGCTACATGACAGAAAATGCCTGATGGATAACTTCAGACATCACCCATGTCTGGAAATGGGGCTTTGCCCATGATGTGGACTGGACCTCCAGAGCATCCCAGTTTATTTGAGGAGGTGGTCTTGACATTAATGTTCCCACGCTCAATAGGATCATGAGTTTCAGTGTAGTTCTCAAAATGCAACCGCAACCTCTGAATCCTTTTCTAGTTTGGTCCGTAACTTTCAGTTCCTCCTTGATTTGTCCACTACAATACCGGTCCCCAGATCTCACCTTCAGAATACCAACTTGGAACAACCAGATCTGACCATCCAGCCAGGTCTGTATGAATTATCACAAGAGAGCAGCTCAATTTTTCACCCATATAGTACTCACAATGCTCTGGCTGTGGTCACAGATGAAGAAAATGGTTGTAGAGCGCTGGAAGATCTTGTGGCATACATCTCCTTGATTATAGTTAATCATTAGAAGCCCATCGTCATAGGTGATATTCTGTGTGGTTAATCCTAAAAAATCAAAGAACACAGCCTGCTTTAGAATCAACCGATGGTGTGGCGTATAAGTTTCCTGTGAAACTTCCTGTAGAGGAGATGTTATCAGGATGGCTCACCTGCGATTTTGTGAGTGCTCCCCTCCACCTGACAGGACGACACGTTGTCACCTCCTGGGTCCTTGTGCGAGCAGATGCTCTGCTGGACACCCTTGCATACCCCCAGGTGGTATTCATACTTCCCGCTCTTCACCTCATAATCCCTCACAGAGAGAGCCGTCAAGTTAAACATGTGGCCGGTCCTGGGGTCCTGAACCTGGCAGTTCTCACCTGAGATCAAAAGGCACACACATCAAACACAGCAGAAGATGGGATGTTCCTACTAGATGAGATGAGGGGCTGCAAGATGTTTGGGTGACAAAGGCCAGAACATGCCAACATGCCACCTACCCTGAACCCTATGGATGGGACAAGCCTCTGACGTTCTCCACATGAAGACAAACTCGCAGCCATCCTTCCGAGCAAACATGGGAGAGCCCTGTGGACGGCAGGACAGAGACCCCATACACATCACAAGGGGCGGGGCTAAAGGACTCACATTAGCAAGGCACATTACAGTCATCCTGTTTTCAGAATAATGATGATGCCTAAAGACCTTTGCTTTCAATTGGTGCTAAGATGCAGCCATAATAAATAATGCAAACAATGTCGAACGCCATTCTCACGTTGTGATAAGTTAGTGAATTACAAAAAAAGGCTCCCAAGGACGCCATTTCTGAAACAGCCGCAAAAATACATAAAATAAACTCAAAGACCCTGGCTGGAAATTCCATATCCTGCGTAGCTCCATTCAGGATCATGCAGAAACTGCACTCAGTCTTGAGGATAAGAAAAGACTGAAGTGCAGTTTGAGTTACTACTAGAGATGCACCGATACCGATATTCGGATCGGTATCGGCGCCGATCCAGACCTATTTGACGGATCGGGAATCGGCCATGCGTGACCGATCCACGTCCTATACTTACTTATTTAGTTTTTGGCAATCAATCGCACGACAGCTCTTTCCCATTTTACATGTGTGTTTTTGCGGAATTCAAATCGAACGCTATCACTGCCCCTAAGTCTTTTTTGCTACTCAGGGGATGTGAGTACAGTGCCTCCCGCCTGCTGTGAGGTCATGCGCATACCCTTCGCAGTACGAG